AAGATAGTAGTCTCAAGTGTGATTTGTACAGCATAACAGATGTTGTGTAATAGCTAAAGTGAAAAATGAGCTGAAAGATACCAGGTGTCTATGAAATATCTATTGCAGCACAGTCAAACACCAGTCATTTCACTATAAGTGTCCAGAGCTTATTTCAGTATTGACAGCCGAGATTATTTTATTTCCCATATATACCTGTAGGAAGAATTGAACAAAGAGAGTTTAGCATTATGAACCTAATCAAACCCACTACAGGTTAGAGGCATTCAAATTAATTGAAACCTGAAAGTCAGCCTTGCCTTATTTACAAAGAAGCTGCTGTAATGCACAAGACACAGCTGCCCACCTTTATCAGTACTTAGATTTGGAGGGTTTTTTAAAATCAAATATTCAATTGTAATCAAATCCATCTATATATATAAAAGAAAGTCCCCTCACCGTAAAATCAACGCCCAGGCCAAACCGCTGGACCTAGAGACACCATATTCGGGGAGAGTGCTTCCACTGCAGCATAGGTGCTTGATAAGAAGGGATTTTTAGAAATTTGACCCCTAAGTGGGTCAAAAGGGGGAAAATGTGCTCCCCCCATTGATTCCTATGTGACTGCCAGGCAGCTCTCTTCCTACACCCCCCACTCTCTCATTGGTCAGCTGCAGAGCTCAGAGTTTTGAGGTAAAAAACCCCAACAGCTACAGGGGACTACAGACAGCTAATGACAGTTGAGGAAATCAGGAGTGGCCAACAAGCACCTGTGAAATTCAGTAATGCTGCTGGCCCAGCCTCTCCGATGGCTTCCAACACACTTCCCCGACCTCCTACACCTAACAGGTGGTTGTCTGTCAGGTGCAGCTCCACCTCCACAGTGACTTCTAATACTCCTCCCCCTCCTACACTGGACAGGCAGCTGCCTGTCAGGTGTAGGAGAGGAGCTGATATGCTTACAGCCGCTGGGGAAGTTCACTCAGCAGGATTGCCTTAGCACTGCTGCTGGCCCAGCCTCCCCAATGCCTTTAACTACAACCCCCCCCCCAACACCAGACAGGCCGGTGTTTGTCAGGTGTAGGAGCAGGGCCAGAGTATGAATGTTTATGGGGAGATAGTAAAGGACATTTCTAGGAGCCATTTCGATGTGTGCCTCCCTCATGAACTTGAAGAAATGTCCACCACATCACCACTCCCTCACACCAACTCCCCCTCACACCTCTTACTGCCCCCAAGAAAGCTCCTGGCAAACGTTGATCCAGATACACCAATGCTACAAGGAGGAGGCAACTTAGGAATGCAGCAAAGACATTTGCACATAGGACTCCTGCAGTGCACTGAACTGCACAGGCCAAATACCAGCAAGATCACCCTGAGGTGCTCAGAACAACAGTCTCCATATGAGCAAATCAATCCAGGAACACAAATAGAGAGGCCATCACTTTCGTGGAAGGTAGCAGGAGTGGACTTAACAGATGACTGCTTCTTAAATGGACAGTTCTATGTGGCCTGCTCCAGAGTGAGCTCATCAAGCAGCCTGGTCATCTTAGCACCTGAGGGCAGAACCACCAATGTGGTCTAGAGAGAGGTCCTTTGGTAGAGAAAAAAAAAGGTATATATGTCTCACTTCATTTCTTACACTACAGTCTTCTCTATTACAATTCCTACAACAAATGTCACATTTCAAACTTAACATCATCAGTATTATAACTGGATTTACGGAACTTAAATACCATAGCGAAGCATGGGTAGCAGGCTAGTACTTCATAAAACAAAGTTGTATGGTACAAACCTCCAGATCAAGCAGCTGGAATGGACATATGAAATGGAAACATTATCCCTCCCTAGATAATTCTTTTGTTTTTTCATCATTGAAATGGAGGAGGTTGGAGGCAGGAAACATGCTGTCCCCTGGCTTCATTGTAAGTTTGCCTCTGGGTAATACTGAGAAGACCATAACAATTAAGTTTATATAGCACTTTAAGTGCTCCATATACATTACTTTAAAGCATACTGGTAAAGTATAAAAGGGTTATCTCTGTACTGTGGATGACAGTAATTTCCCTAAAATACATATGTATATGCCATCGAGTCACAACTGACGGTGACCCCAGCAAAGGACTTTCAAGGCAAGTAAGAAGCAGAGGCAGTTTGCCATTGCCTTCCTCTGCAGTCTTCTTTGGCAGTCTCCCATCAGAGTACCACACCTGCATAGGTTCCAAGATTGAGCCACATCATATTGCTCCACATCCACTCCCTAAGACAAAGGTGGACGAACTTCAGTACACACACACCCCAGCACTTCAGGGTTCACCAACTGAAGCCAGTTGAAAAAAAGGCTTTTTTCCCTGGGGGACAAGGCAATTACAAAATGATGAAGCTCCAGCCCTGCTGTTCTACATAAAGAAGAACCATATGCTGGGGTATCTGCCTGTCAAGTACAAATTCATGGTTGAACTAGAACATATATCAAATTCAAATATCACATCTAAACATGCTATACAAAGACCCAACCATAGGCAGCCAATTAATACCACCATTTTACAGCTGTGAAATACCAAGAGTTAAAGAAAAGTGATTATCAAAACTGACATCCTATTTGAGAAACAAATCAGTTACAAAATTTGAGGAGATGGAGTGTGTATTATTTGTATGAAAGCAGGGGACAAATCTAAAATGAGAAATAGTTTAAAACCTTGTATATAATTGTACTGCACTGAAGCAGAATGAGAAGTAGTTCTAAATGTTTAAGGCTGAAAATAAATGTATCCTAACAAAAGTTATTTTTATCAAATAATGAAGGGGGTGTTGGGGAAAAACATTTTCCATTTTTTCTTTATATTACATAATTACTATTCAGCTTTTGTATTTTCTATTATCTACTTGTCTTAAAAACAAAAAAAATGTAAAAAAAGTGATTATCAATATATCTAATTGTCAAAATGGCCTCATCTGTGCATCCTGTAGGTTCATGCACCAATCATTTAGGCTTGTATAGAAGGGTAGGGTCATATTTCATAAAGGTGCTGAACTACATTTGCCACTTCACTGGCATTTACTTAGTGAGGTTCCAGGGTGCTCCCTGACTCCTGTTATAGGTTTTAGAAGAACCAGAAATTTAGGAGATGTTTTGGTCCATTCTGATATTAGTAGACATTATAATACAGTTCCAGTTAGAGTGGGACACTTTAAATGTGGGAAAAGCTGTAATGTGTGTCCACTGTCTATTGTAGGCTCTGTTTTTCAGCATCCTACTAGTACAGAGCAAGTGAAGATTAATCACTTCAGTAATTGTAATACCTCTAATGTAGTATATGCCTGTGTATGTGTGTGTAAATTGGTCTACATAGGAATCAGTACAAGACCTATAAAAATTCGTATACAGGAACATCTATCTCGTATTAGGAACCAGGTGGAGTCTGCTCCAATGGTTGCCCATTTCAAAACTGCAGCACACAAACCAGAAGATTTTAAATTTATGGTATTGTTTCATTATAGATCACAATCCTACAATCAAGTGGACATATCCCGGGTTTTATTACAGAAAGAAGCTGAATTTATTTTCAGACTACATACACTGACTCCATCAGGATTAAATAAGGAACTCGACTTGAGTTCCTTTCTGTAAATGGTCAGGGTACCTTTAAGATAAAAATGCCATCTTAAAACATCACACCTGTTATATCCTACAAATTTTCTATTGAGACATTGTGCCACACTGAGGGAAGCTGAGCCAAATATCACATACTGTAGACTCTGTCACATGAGAGCATATTAGGAGCTCCCCAGTCACCAGGTTAGTAAATTTTGGAATGGTTGTTTTACTTAGAATTATTCTTGTATATGTGTCACTGATGGACTGTAGAATATTCATTGTGCTTGTCTGCTTTCCTTTAGATTAAACACGATAACGTACAAAAAACTGTATAAGAATTTACATCGTGATATAATGGTGAGTTTATAAATTGTAAATCCTCCTTTACATATTAGAGTAAAAGTTATGTTTTTGTTGGATTATTAAGCATGTTACACTCCATTGCAGCTTGCAGCACTTTATTCCATTGAAGATAAGAATACAGACGACAAACCTGAAGGATTTGTAAACGGACTTATACTAGAAATCCGTCGTTTGTCTGAGAATATACTGCAGTGTTTCATATGTACTGCCAAGCCTAAGATCGCATTCTATAATGTTATAGTTGTAACTTTGCTGACAATTGATTTCTAAAAGCATTATATATAAATATCTGCTTATATTGTATATGTATACACGGTGATTTATTGTTTTGCTAGTTACTATACACCGTGGTCTTGTTTGTTGTAACTTCACAATTAAAGGCAAACGTTAAATAGTAAATGCTGAGAATCCATAAGGCATTTTACTGGACTCCAAGTGCTGAAGAGTCTTAGTGGGAACAACATTTACTGACATCATTACTTTTCTGCACTTACAGCTGATTGTGTTAACCACAATAAAAATGCATCCTCAAGGTGCACAGTAACATGGCCTGTAATTCTGAATTTTTACACAATCTTGCATTTCACACAGTGGTAAGAATAAATTGACCTCTGAAGAAATCCCTGTGCTCAGGAAAGAGAAACCCCCCCCCCAAAAAAGCAGGCTTTAGGACAGTAGCCATGAAGTATAGCAGAATAAGCCACACAACTCTGAATCTTTAGTTTCATGATCTACCAGTATCATTCTTCCAGCAGAATTAGATATTGGATTTGATTTTAAGCTTATAACACATTGTAGATTAGCAACATATTCCTTAATATTTTTTGGTTAAAACATCCTATTCCATCCAGGCATTAGTGGTTTTCTTCTCACCCAAACAAGCCTACATCCTAAGAAAACGAGGAAAACTGAACTAGCCTTAGAACACCATGCTGTCACCATTTCTTCAAGACTACATGCAGAATATGTTCTAGTAACCACTGTAAACATTAAGTAATATCACTTAACTGACCAGCAATTTCAGAAGATATTTTCCCCTAAATCATGCCTGTTTATTGGAAAACCCAGGGGACTCACAATATACAAATAAAATATTTATAATCACAAGATCGCTGAACTGAGCAGGCTTAACAGAACTTTGTCTTCTCTGGCAAACAAGCAAGCAAATGATTACTAGCAATATGATGGACTACAACCTGTAGACAAGCAAAACATGCTCATGATCTAATTGTACCCTCTGCATAAGTCCCTTTATACCTAGCCATGCACACACTACTTGGAAATAACTCACTGAAAGGACCTGATTCCATGTAATGTGTTCAGGCTTTAGGTAAGCAAATGTCTGACTATATATATTTCTTCTTTAGTGCATAGATGCATATTAGGCAATTGGCTTGCGTTTGATTTTACTGTGGTGACAACATGGGTTAGAAAATTACAAGGAACAGTTCCAGAAACCTCTAACTCTTTTGTAAGCAACACAGGAGCAATTCAAATTATTTTTAAATATAAAAAATGTTTATTTTTCCCATTCATTTTTACTACTGTCCCCCCAAAACTAAGCTGTATTTGTAGGAACCAAAAATAGTGTGCAAGTATTCCAGGCAGGTTTCTTCTGAGTTTGAATACATAAGTTGCATTTTTCAACTCAAGTGGAAGAACATTAGAATGCATATTTATTTTAAGGTTTAAAAAGGATGAAAAAAGTCACAACATATTATAACAAAGTGAAAATCGTTGGCACAAATATATCCAGGTACAAAAGCATAGGAAATAGGTATTGCAAAAAAGGTGATTTGGTTGTGGTAGCAAGGATTGAGACAACAGCATTTTCTGTCATTTGTGCAAATGCTGCATTAAAATACCGATTTACCAAAGAAACAGTGATGAAGAAACAACCCTAAAGTTCCAGGACCTTCCAGATGACCAGTCACAGTTTGAAAATCCCCCCAACTGAACCACTGAGTCAAGGTCAAACCTCTTCTGCTACTGCCTGTATTGAAATTCATGTTAGTGTGGTCAGCTTGTCAATCAAGTCTTCAACAGTGTACACAATAAGTTTAATATCTTCTTGTTCTTTCATTCGATGTTGCCCAGCTTTGCGGAGAATAATATCCACATCTGTGCTGACCACACGTTCAGCAATTTTCAAGGAAATCTGCCATGGAACATCTTCATCTTTTATACCATGGAGAAGTCGCACAGGACACTTTATGGGAAGAGGAGTACCCAATACACAGTGATTTTCTGCCTCCTGAATGACTTCATATGGTACAGTGTAAAAGCCTTCTTCATTGTGCTTGGTTGGCAACTTCCATTCACCTTTTTCTTCTATTTCTTTCTTCACCTATGAAATAAAACATATGCAACAGTTAAAGATACCTAAAAAACATTTGAATCCAACTCAGCCCAAGGCAAGTTCACACACATCTGTACATTACTGTAATGCCCTTATGACCTGACTTGCATCACTTTAATGTGCCATAAGGAGGAGCTAACAACTGAATTAAGCCACACATTTCAGTTTATTTATTATATTAGGGTTATACACTGTCCTCCCCGTGAGCGGGCTCAGGGCGGTTCACATCAAAGACATATAAAACATATAAAATCTATTAAATAATTTAAAATACAATTCTAAAGCCCAATAACTGTATGGTGCCATCATACAATTCTTTTTTAAAAAAATATTTTTATTAGTATATTAAGAACTGTATATATACACATAATATATATTTCATTTGACATTACTCGGTACAGTACTACCTATGGTTAACAAATGACACTCTATTCCCCTCCATAAGTTAGTATTTAAAGTCGCAGTAATAGTTGTTTTGAGTATGAGTGCAGAGTGTGAACCTATTTGTATAGCCTATTGTTTAGTATATCTCACAGGTGTAACCACTCATGGTATGCTGCAGCTATCGTCAATTTGGCTGTCGCTAGTAATGTCGAAATAGTCTCCCTAGTGTTGTCTGCTATCGAATCATTCCATTTATGTAGGAGCATAACTTCCGGTTTAAAAGCGAGTTCCTGAGACGTTATCTCCTTAATTTTGGCCGTTACTTCTTTCCAGAAATGTTTAATTTGTGGACAATCCCACCAGCAATGTAGGTACGTGCCTTCTTGTCCGGACTTCTTCCAACATCTAGGATCATTGTTTGTATTCATCTTGTGTAGGTGTTTTGGAGTCAAGTACCATCTCGACATCAATTTAAAGGTTTGTAAGCGGATGTTATGTACTGGCGAATTATATGCAGGTGATGCCCAAATTAAGTTCCAGTCCGAGTCTTGCCACTGTATGTTCAACTCTTCTTCCCAGCGAAGTTTATGTTTTAATTTGGTTTGGTTTTCTGTTACTATGATTGTTGCTTTATATATTATTGACAAAATTCCTTTTGGTGATTTTGGGTAGTTTTTGATTGTCCTTTCTAGTGGTGTCAGTTCCCTCTGGAAGGTTCCCAGGTTCGTCAGAAATTCAATAAGGTTCTTAAGTTGGAGGTACTGATACCACTGTGTTTGGGTCCCAATTTTTGTGTCAAAGTATTGTTTGTCCATGATCTTGCCTTGATGCGTTAGATCTATTGGTCTCCTGATTCCCGCTTTTATCCAGGTTTCAAAGGCCCCTTGTGTTTTACCCGGCGGAAACCAAGTTTGGTGGGTAAACACTGACAGCTGTGACACTCCTTCTGGTAAGAGTTTCTTTTTCCGGTCCCACGTATAGATCGTTGTCTTTAAGAGGGTGTTGTTTTTTACTGATTTTGGTCTTTGGCTTGGTACGATCCAGAAAATTTCATGCATTGCGAAGGGGCTTGTGTACACTTCTTCTATTTGCATCCACGGGGTTTGATGGTCTGGTTGTAGCATCCGCACTACCTGTGATAGAATTGTAGCTTGGTGGTATGCACTTAGTAGAGGGAGATCTAGACCTCCTCGGTTAGCGGGTCGGTGTAATATATTTTGGTTTATTCTCGATTTTTTCCCCTCCCAGAGGAATCTTATCAGTGAGTTTTGCCAGGTCTGCAGATCTTTGTTTGTGATTGAGATTGGTAGCGTTCAGAAGAGGAACAGGAATTTTGGTAGTGCAAAACTTTTGATAAGATGCAGTCTATCCGCTAACGTTAGTTGTAGTGTGTTCCACATTGCTATATCCGTTTTTAGTTTGTTGTGAGTTTTATGATAGTTGTATTTCAGAAGGTGTTTTAGGTTTAGTGGTATATTCACCCCTCGGTGTCGCCAACTCTCCTTAATCCATTTGAATTGGAAGGAACTTTTTATCCTAGCTTCTGTTGTTTTTTTGAGTTTGATAGGGTATATTTCAGACTTAGCTTGGTTGATCTGCAATCCCGAAACTCTTGCAAAAGATGTGAGCATGTGGTGTATAGCCTGGACGGAGGGCATCGGATCAGAAATATAGAGGGTGAGGTCGTCCGCATACAAATTTACCTTGTGTTCTTGGACCCTTATCCTAAATCCACTAAATGTTTCAGTCTTCCTTAATTCCTCGGCTAAGTGTTCTATTGCGAGTGCGAAGTTTAATGGGGATAAGGGGCAACCCTGTCTGGTCCCTTTTGAGAGAGTTACATTGTTAGAGCTATATCCATTCACCCTTACTTTGGCCTTGTTCTCCGCATATAGCGTTTTTAGTGCCCTCATACAATTCTGACCTCCCAATTTACATTAGCAATGGGGGAAGAGGGGTAGAAGCAGATTGTGAATCAAATAGTTCTTAAGAACTATTAAACTGTTAAGAAACCATTGTTCTCCTCAACCGTATGCTTGGAGGAACATCTCTGCCTTGGAGGCCCTGTGGAATTGTACTAAATCCTGCAGGGCCCTAATGTTAACTGGCAGAGAGTTTCACCAAGTTGGACCAAGGCCGAAAAGACCCTGGCTCTCTATGAGGACACCCAGACACTCTTTGGGCCAGGGACTTCCAACAGATGTTAGTCACTTGAGTGCAATGCTCTCCAGGGGACATATCAGGCAAATTCCTGGATCACTAGCCATTCCAATCAGGAAATAAAGCCCTTCATCAACCTCAAGTATGGATAGCATATATAGAGCATGAAGCAAAACCCAGGGGTTTAAAATCTGCACAGTGAGTAGAGAGATTAAATTTAAACAGCATAACCTGCACCTACCCTGCAGTATGTCCAGCATTTTGACAACTGTTCCGGGCACGAGCTGGTATGCACAGTGGCTATGAATAACAGTTTGAACTGTGTATCTGCTGCGACCTCTCTAGGAAGCGTTAGGCAAGCCATTCCATATTCAGACATCACAAACTCTAATTCATTCATGCCTGGTTTATTCTAATATTCTAATATTTTGTTCCTTCTCCTTCTCATTTGAAACTAAGATCAAAAGCTTGATTTAGAAACCACAGCTTAATTCTGGTTTACTAACCCCTATCATGAGCGCAAATAAAGGAACCCCAAGTTGTTGAAGTACCCAGATTTGGACATCACAATAAAATGTATTTAGACTGAATACTTCCTGATTTTGGAAGTCTTCAATCTTGGCTTTGCACAAGAGGGGGCAGAATGTGCAAGCATGGAAATGAAAATCAAGCTCATACTAAACAAACCACAAGTTGTTTGTGATATCTGAATGCAGCCCTCACACCTTTTAGTCCACTTCAGCTCCTCATCCAAGAGAGAGAATAGTACTAACCTATGTCAACAGCTTTGTAAATTGCCTGGAACAGCCTATACTGCTATGTAAATTATGATGATTAGTAAAGAAACTTTCCTACCTTCAAATAACTTAGTACTGGTGGATGGAGAAAGACTGCTGGCTTCACCAATTTTCATCAACTGAATTTATACAATACTCATCAACTGAATTTATGCAAGAGAATATTATATTTAATCCAGAAGTAATCAAAACGATGCAGCGACACACATGTAGTTTCAGAAGCACAGTGCTGGTTTTGCATAGTATTCTTCAAAACTATATATAACAGCCATATACACCAGTTGTTAATGGCTCCTATTGTGCTCCATGAGAAAAAAATAACCATTCAGAACACAGGAAACAAACAAACAAACAAAATCCTACTGACTCCAATCCCAAACAATGTTTTGTTTTTCTATTACTGGGGATGTCTACTATTCATTTGTAAGAAGCAAAATACAGTCCACAGTGGGGAAGACAATAATGTAGCATGGAAGACCCCTTGTGTAGAGGTACAGCATTTGCTTTGTATGCGTGAAGTCCCAAACTCAATCCTTGACATCTTCAGTTAAAAGGATCAGGTAGCAGATGATGTAGCGCTCCCTGTAGCACTCCTTTGTCCAGCTGATATCCTCTTTGTGGCACTGCAACTTCACAAAAGAATCCAGACAAATTTCAAAGACAGGACTGACTAGAAAAGCCAATGTATCTACTTACTTCTAAAGGAAGTTGCTGAAAAGTTGCTACAAGCTCGTCTGCAGCCGCAGCTATTCCAACCAGAGCAACCACCTTTTCTGGTCGGGCAATTGCTGCATGAAGCATCAGCCATCCGCCCAAACTGGAACCAACTAAAATCTTAAACAAACCAACAAGCATTAGTGTTTTTGTATTACAGGAAGGACATTGTACGGATTCACTATGTGGTGTATAAACCAGCGTGAGGAATGACAGAGAATGTGAGTGCGAATTAGTTTTGCAAATTGATTTTTAGACAGTCTTTAACCTCAAGTGGAACCCAGAGGCTGAGAGCCAGTTTGGTGTAGTGGTTAAGTGTGCGGAAGGTAATCTGGGAGAACCCGGTTTGATTCCCCACTCCTCCACTTGCACCTCCCGATGTGACCTTGGGTCAGTCACAAGCTATGGCACAGCTGTCCTTGAAAAAGAGCAGTTTGTGTCAGAGTTCTCTCAGCCCCACCCACCTCACAGGGTGTCTGTTGTGGGGAGGGGAAGGGAAAGGAGTTTGTAAGCCGCTCTGAGACTCCAAGTGAAGGGCAGGGTATAAATCCAATCTCTTCTTCTTCTTCTTCTTCTTCTTCTACTGCCTTTTAGTAGTATTTCAAGCTAACATAGTTACCACACAGTTTATATTCTTGAATTTATTGCTACTATACAGACTCCTACTTATGTTATTCATCTCCTGCTTCCTAACTATGATCTTAAGGTAGCCTCCCCCTCCACCACCTCCAATTTTACCATTACACACTAAATAATCATACTAGCTGTCTGATTCCTGCTAAACATTTGTCAGGTCAATAGAAATTTTGCTTCTTCAGAAACACATCCACAGTTGTAGGGCTGTAGTAAAATTGGAACTGTTCTTGAGGACACTTTTACAAAGCAACAAGGGCTGTGCTTTATGGCACTGTTTACCATATGCGCTCCCTGTATATACTGTATTGTTTTCAAATGTCTGTAATCCAGTTTTTGTATTTCTCGCACCATAGTTTATACTATGGAAAAGATCAACAACCTCAGATATGCAGACGATACCACTCTGATGGCAGAAAGTGAAGAGGATCTAAAGAGCCTCTTGCTCAGAGTAAAAGAGGAGAGCACAAAAGTGGGCTTGAAGCTCAACATCAAAAAAACTAAGATCATGGCATCCGGCCCCATCACTCCTTGGCAAATAGAAGGGGAAGTCGTGGAAGTAGTGACAGACTTCACGTTCCTGGGATCCCAGATCACCACAGACTGTGACAGCAGCCATGAAATTAAAAGACGCCTGCTCCTTGGGAGGAAAGCGATGGCGAACCTAAACAGCATGATAAAAAGTAGAGACATCACCCTGCCAACAAAAGTCCACATGGTCAAAGCAATGGTATTCCCAGTAGTCATGTATGGCTGCGAGAGTTGGACTATAAGGAAGGCCAAGCGCCGAAGAATAGATTCTTTTGAACTATGGTGCTGGAGAAGACTCTTGAGAGTCCCTTGGACTGCAAAAAGATCAAATGGTTAGACAGTGTCATCGATGCAATGAACATGAAATTGAGCACACTTCAGAGGACGGCGGAAGACCGGAAGGCCGGGCGGGAGCTGGTCCATGGGGTCGCAAAGAGTCGGACTCGACTGTGCGACTGAACAACAACAACAAGTTTATACTATTCCTGCTAAATTTTGCAATCCACCTTGAGTTTCAGCTAGAAAATATATAAAATTATAAAGTATATAAATAAATATCCAACCATTTTGAGCCACAATAAAGTATTGTGAAAACTGTATGCTGGGTTTAAAAATAATCTTCACAACCTGTGGTCCATCTGTGAGTTCATCCAGTACCGAAAGAACATCCTTCCGCCACTTCCCCACTGTAGATTCTTTGACATTGCCTTCTGAACTTCCACAACCAGTGTAATCAAACCTATGAAGTCAAGTCAAAATATTAGTCTATGTGAATATACATATTATATTTCTTCAAGTTCCAAGGATCCCCAAACAAAACTAACAATTAAAAGGGCAATATAACAAGATCTTATGTTTGGTAGGTAAAAAGATGACAGAGACAGCACATCTCTTTTTTCTATGCCCTACCTTCAGTGCCAGCAACAATTCTTGGAACAGCATACCAATTTAGTACAGCAAATACGAAGTGCATAAAAGCAGACTGCACAGTCCTGTGTTTTATGTGAAGGGGCGGAAAAGCCGAGCAATCTGAATCTACGCACATTCCATTTTCCCTGATCAAATGTTACACCTCTCCATGGACAGCCAATGACATCTGAAGTTAGGAAGGTATACCAGCTTGATGAGAAGCAAGATGCACTCCCCCTCTCATACCCCACAAAAGTGAGACTTCTTCAAGGGGTCCAACTGCCCGGGCAACTAAACATTGCTTCTAATGTCACAGCCACAGGAAGGCACACAGGAACAAAGCCCAACCCATAATGTTGTTTCGGATAGTAGCCATGCTGTCATGGTGCTCAGCTGCTTTTTCCTTTGGCCTCTGACCAAGAGCAGGTGGCACCTGGCTGGGCTCCAGGTAGAAGGTATGGCTGGCCAGGTGGGTGCCTGACAATAGCTGAGGAAGGAGGCAGCCTTTGCTCAACTCCCAGTACAGGCATGAATAGAGAAGAAAGTGGCACCAGGCTCCAAACTAGCCTATACCTTACCAGAATTGCCTTGCTCTACTACAGTTTTGGTTCATACAAGGGTGCATATACTCAGAGTTCTGAGTGCTGAGGTCAGGAGGAGCTGTGCAATTAAAAACAAGCTTTCTTTTCTTCTCTCACCTAAAAACCTCTTATTTCCCTCATGCTCTCCTTTCCCAATTAGACAGTCTCTCTGGCTATACAGAACAAACAACAAACCCCAATGGAATGTCATATTTACTCGATAGGAAGACGACCCTGAATGTTAAGATGACCACCCCTAAAAATGCTATGCAAAAACAGTTTATTAGTGGACATAACTGTAATTTGAATGCAGATTTAGAATGACCCCCCCTTTTTATGGAATACTTGGAAAAATCCTAGTCTTGCATTTGAGTAAAGACTGTACCTACCATTTGTTCCTATTTATCAGGGATAGTCCCTATTTTTGTCATGTAGGAGGCATCTTATAATTCTTTGGTGCAACTTGTCCTTTTTCAACATTTAGCACTTTCTTCAGACTCTGCTAGAGGATTATGTCTTGTTTCTAATCCCCAATTACCACAAATGCATGTGCATGATTGTTAAATCATTATATATTCATGGCCTGTCATGAGGGGCGGTTCCCGGGGGCACTCAAGGAAGTGATGGTCCGCCCTCGCTTGAAAAAACCATCTCTGGACCCGGCCGAATTGGCCAACTATCGGCTGGTGTCCAATTTGCCCTATTTGGGCAAACTTATCGAGAGGGCGGTGGCGTTACAGTTACAGGGCTTTCTGGATGATGCTTCTATCCTAGATCCTTTCCAGTCCGGTTTCCGCCCGGGACATGGGACATAGACAGTGCTGGTCGCTCTTGCTGACGACCTCAGAAGGCATCTGGATCGAGGCGGTGTGGTGGCACTGTTGTTGTTAGATCTGTTCACCACGTTTGACACGGTTGACCACCAGTTGCTGACCCGCCGCCTCGCCGACATGGGGATTCAGGGGCTCGCTCTTCAATGGCTTGCCTCTTTTCTCCAAGGTCGGGGACAAAGGGTGGCAATAGGGGTATAGCAGTCCTGGAAACATCCTCTAGAATGTGGGGTGCCTCAGGGGGCGGTGCTGTCCCGATGCTGTTTAACATCTATATGCGCCCCGCTGCCCAGATTGTCTGGAGGTATGGGCTTGGGTGCCATCAGTATGCTGATGACACCCAGCTCTATCTGATGCTTGGCAGCCAGTCGAACTCCAGCTCAGAAGATCTTCACCAAGCGTTGCAAGCTGTGGCTGGTTGGCTCAGACTGAGTCGGCTGAAACTAAAGCCAGTGAAGACGGAGGTCCTGGGCCTGAGTTGGGCCGGTTCGGGGTTGGGGCTCCCTCTCCCGGCCTTCGATGGGGCGCCGTTGGTGCCAGCGTCAGAGGTTAGGAGTTTGGGAGTGCTCCTGGACTCCTCGTTAACTATAGAGGCCCAGGTGGCAGCCACTGCCAAGTCAGCCTTCTACCATCTTTGGCTGGCCCGGCAGTTGGTTCCCTTCCTCGACCGTGATGACCTGGCCACAGTGATCCATGCGACGGTCACCTCGAGGTTAGACTACTGTAATGCTCTCTACATAGGGGCTGCCTTTGTTGCAAATCCGGAAGCTGCAGCTAGTGCAGAATGCTGCAGCCAGGCTTTTGATGGGTCTCCCTAGGCAGGAACACATCTGGCCTGTGCTGAAAGTGCTGCACTGGCTGCCAATAACGTACCAGATTTGCTTCAAAGTGCTGGTTCTTACCTTTAAAGCCCTATATGGCCAGGGTCCGACATACCTAAGGGACCGCCTTTCCTCATGTTCCCCCAAGGGCACTACGGTCGGGGACGCAACATCTGCTGGTAATTCAAGGCCCCAAAAATGCCAGATATGCTGCTACCAGGGCCAGGGCTTTTTTGGTGGTGGCTCCTACCTGGTGGAAGGATCTCCCGGAGAAGATCCAGGCCCTGTGGGACCTTGTGCAGAGCTCTTCCGCCAGGCTTTCGAGTAAGAGCCACTACTACTTCCACTACTTCTACCACTACCACCACCGAGTTGGGTAACAGCGGGGGGTGAGATGGCCCTGTGTTAAATGAACTACAGTGCTGTGTGGATCTGATACCACTGAACTAGGACTGCTATCTCCAGGAAGCTATCTTGTTACTGAAGACTTACCTGAAACATCTTGAGCACTTTGTATTGTTGTAATTAATTGATTGTTTTATCTTGTTTTTAACTGTTTTAACTATTGGCATATATGCCCTATCTGTGAGCCGCCCAGAGCCCGCTTGCGAGGAGGGCGGGCTATAAATCTAATAATAAAAAAAATAAATAAAACTGTAGGTTCTGAGTTATCCTGCACTGTTGATAACATATGTATCTTTAACAAATAGAATCAACAGTCTCTTGGCTTTGGCGTCAGCAAAAGACGATCTACTGATGAATGAATGGAGTACACTTTTCAGCAATGAATGGAGGGCAGATTATGGAGAGTGATCCTTCTTATACAACACAGAAGTGTAACAAGTGTCTCCTTACTGTCATCCATGAGGTTTTGGAGTGTATTTCATTTCAAAACAGCTCAAGAGAATCAACCAATTTTGTGTTACTGAGACTCTTGGAGGTGGCTCCCCATTTGGACCAAATTTATCCAGTCTTGTTCCCTATCACTTGTAGGACTGAGTATCACCAGATCTGACCAATAATAGGAAAAACCAGTAATTTACAACAGTAATGTCATAGGCACTATTGGACTCTCAAGACATACCTTACAAAAGCATGACCAATAGACTTGCAGAAGTCTTCGAGTGCAAGTGCCTTCCGACCATTCATATTTGAATAAAGACCTGAGAGGAAGACAACTCCAGGATTCTTGCCTTTCAGCTTATTATAAGCCAGTTTTGGACGATCGGGCCGGCTAAGGAAACTCACTGTTGATTTCTGTCTGCAACCTAAAGAGAAAACATATCCTTTGGAAAAGCTAGCTTGTTTAATATCCCAACTACTTGTCTCAGTTTCACAATAATACTTGGGTTTATTAGCCCTGGGTGGTGGTATAATAAGTTAATTTGATAAGTTCTGCAACTCTGGTGATGGAAGTATATTTGCTGATTTGCTTGCTTAGTCCCTTTGCCAAATTATACAGAAGCAACTATTGGGGAAAGATGCTTTACTCCTTTTTAATTAAGTTCATTTAGATTCCACTGGTGTCCCAGATGGCAACCCAAAACAGCTTACAACACTGCACTCTCCACCATTTTATTCTAACAACCCTGAGAAGCAGGTTGGCCTGGCCCAAGGTCATCCAGCAGCCTTCAATGGCACAGATGGGATTTAAACAATAATAATACACAATAAATATACGTTGATGGGGTCTGAACTGGCAGAGACTGATCAAGAGAGAGATCTTGGAGTTGTAGTAGATAACTCACTGAAAATGTCGAGACAGTGTGTAACTGCAATAAAGAAGCCCAATGCTATGCTGGGGATTATTAGGAAGGGTATTGAAAACAGATCAGCCAATATCATAACGCCCCTATATAAATCAATGGTGCGACCTCATTTGGAATATTGTGTGCGATTCTGGTCACCACACCTTAAAAAGGATATTATAGCTTTGGAAAAGTGCAGAAAAGGGCAACTCGAATGATAAAAGGGTTGGAACACTTTCCCTATGAGGAAATGTTAAGGTGCTTAGGGCTCTTTAGCTTGGTGAAACAACGACTGAGGGGTGACATGATTGAGGTTTATAAGATTATGCATGGGAAAGAGCAGGTAGAGAAAGAGGTACTTTTCTCTCTTTCTCACAATACAAGAACTCGTGGGCACTCCATGAAATTGCTGAGCGGTCGGGTTAGAACGGATAAGAGGAAGTACTTCTTCACCCAAAGAGTGATTAACACTTGGAATTCACTGCCACAGGAAGTGGCGGTGGCTACAAGCATGGACGGCTTCAAAAGGGAATTAGATAAGCATATGGAGCAGAGGTCCATCAGTGGCTATTAGCCACAAGGTATAGATAGGGACTCTGGGGCAAGTGATGCTCTGTCATCTTGGTGCTTGGGGGGGGGTCAACAGTGGGAGGGCTTCTAATGTCCTGGCCCCACTGGTGGACCTCCTGATGGCACTGGTATTTCTGGCCACTGTGTGATACAGAGTGTTGGACTGGATGGGCCTTTGGCCTGATCCAACATTGGCATCTCTTATGTTCTTATGTTCTTAAACCTGGGATTCCCAGATCCTAGTCTAATACTCTAACCACTACACCTTCCTGGGTCGCATACAATGTTCCCCGTAAGCTGTGGAGTCTTGTGATCAAAAATTCTCCTTTGTGAGCTACTGGCATTAAAGTTGTGAGCCAGTGATTTGGCTCCTGCATACATTAGTCTGCTCTGGAGCTCTCCTTCCTGAGCTAAGGCAAAAATGTGTGAGCCGGAGACTAAGAAACTGTGAGCTGGCTCACACTAACTCAGCTTAGAGGGAACACTGGTCTCATCTTGTCGGTACTTATTATTTTGTCAGATTTTTTGTGGGACAACTATTTTACTGGAAAGATATTACCAAGATCTTGTTTGAGCATATGTAGCATTCAGATAAGAGAGTTTAATCCCTCCATTCTGAATTTTCTCTGGGCTCAGCATTCCAGAATACATAACTAAAATGCTATGTAAAAGAAAACAGTCTGTGTTCTTGACACCACTGTTCTATTTTTCATTTTGAGAAATAGTTTTCTGAACTCATACCACTCAGATAAAAAGTGCAAATATAAACAGAGCAAATGCACTCTAGCCATTATATTAAAATATTATTCTCTCAGTGAAAGGCATTTTTCTACTGTGGGGAATGCCAATGGAACCTTTTTACCTCAAATGCTTCAGTGGAATAGCTCAAAAGCCTATAGATAAGACAACAAAGTGAAGCACCCCAAGGCACTCTGAGATTGCTAGCATAATTGGAACTCCATAAAATAAAGTAAGCAACTCTGAAAAGGAAAAAGCTGAAGCGCCAGGAAACCTTTCAAGGGTACATTGTAACTCCAAAATTGCTATACAGTGCTGCTTTAATGTCATACACATCCTTTCACAAATCAGACATGATTTGAACTGCTGCTACGTTTTTCATATTTATTTGTAACTATTACATTTTGCACTCACATGTAGTGTGTACACACTGACAGTATATATATGATACAAGCTCACATGCTAAGGAGCTGTGCTCCCAACCCCATGGATCTGCAAAAGAAGTCACTAGCTTGCCATTTCTGCAGCCCTGCTGATGTTACAGGGAAAAGGGAGAGATTGCTCTCTTCCTTTTCCCCACTACAGCCTCTCAACCAACATGGCTATTTATTTATTTATATTTATTTATATATTTAATTTATAGGCCGCCCTCCCCACCGAAGCGGGCTCAGGGCGGCTCACAGTCAGGCACCAGCCAACACTTAAAACATTTAAAACCATTTAAAAAATTCTACAAAAATACGATATAAGGTGCTCCAGATGTTCCAATTAATCTTCTATCAAGATGACGTATGCTGCTGCTCCATCGACTCAGTGTCGTCTGCTCCGCGTAGTGCTGATGTTCTTTCTTCCAGGGCCAGGTGATGATGGTACAGTAGTGGCGGCTCCTACTTAAATGCCTGGTGGAAGAGCTCCGTCTTGCAGGCCCTGCGGAACTTCCCTAGGTCCCGCAGGGCCTGGATCTCCTCTGGGAGCTCATTCCACCAGGTAGGAGCCGCCACCAAAAAAGCCCTGGCCCCAGTAGCGGCAGGACTCTATGCAGGTCCCACATCCCCAAGGAATAAACTTACGTGGAGTAAGTTTGATCCAGGTGGACAGCCACGTTGGTCTGAAGCAGCAGAACAAAGTTTGAGTCCAGTGGTACCTTTAAGGACCAACAAAGTTTTGTTCAAGGTATGAGCTTTCATGTGCATGCACACTTCCTGTGGACCTGTTATCTCTGTTTGGTTTTTGCATCTGTTAAAACATCTTTGGTGTAGCCAGTTTGGCGTAGTGGTTAAGTGCGCGGACTCTAATCTGGGAGAGCCAGGTTTGATTCCCCACTCCTCCACTTGCACCTGGCTGGATGACCTTGGGCAAGCCGTAGTTCTGATAAGAGCTGTTCTTGAAAAGAGCAGTTTCTGTCAAGAGCTCTCTCAGCCCCACCTACCTCACAGGGTGTCTGTTGTGGGGAGGGGAAGGGAAAGGAGTTTGTAAGCCGCTCTGAGACACCTTTGGGTAGTGAAGGGCGGGGTATAAATCCAATCTCTTCTCTCTTCTCTTCTTCTAAATGGTAACCATATACACCAACCTTGTTATTCCTGATTCTAATAAATATCTTCATTATGTTGTATGCTAATTTACTGCTCAACCTCTGCCTATACGTATGGGTGGGTAAGTTCCATTTCACTGTATCTGAGGAAGAGTGTGTGCACATGAAAGCTCATACCTTGAATAAAACTCTGTTGGTCTTAAAGGTGCCACTGGAATCAAACTTTGTTCTACTGCAGCAAATTTGTTTTGTTTGACCCTTTCTGTGGTTTTCTTTCTATAATAAATCCTGTGTAGGTATGTGAAACTGAAAAAACAAACAGCCTTGTGAAACCATGATGACTGACAAATTTACTGTGGTCCCACTTTGTCAGACATGAATGCTTATGCCAAATACTTTGTTAGTCCTAAAGGGGCCACAAGCCTCTACTGTTTTGGCTGCAATGTACTATTGCTGCTACCTCTCTAGAATATGTGAAAGGGGGGGGGCAGGGGAAAGCCAGAATCTAATCCTAGATATTTTCTATATATTTTTTTAATTTCTTTTTTATTACATTCAAAATTATATATTCTTCAAAATGCAGTTTGAAAGTGTCAGTAGATCGGGGTCTCTGGCTTTGAGCCCATGGGTACATTTAGTATTTTGAGAAAGGGTAGCGAGTCCCCCCAAAATGACCGCCAAAGGAGGTATAGCTGAAAGGAATATCTCCCTTCTCACACCTCCCGAAGGAAAGCCTGAAGGGGGAATGGCATTACACAATGACAAAAAAAAGTGCAGGTGCTTACCTGCCCTCCCGATCCTCTGGCGGAAAACCCTTTATTTGACTAAGAGTCCTTAATAGCATACCCTGCCTTGCAATGACCCTGCTGACTTCCTGAAAAGCTCAGCAGGTGCCAAAGGAAGTAATGGTGGGTGCCATGGGGCCCAGGAGCACCACCACACTGGGAAACCCTGCAGCAGCTATTGCCAGAAAATCTGAGGGCGGGGTATGGAATGGTGATGAGCCCAAATAAAATCTGACAAGGTTAGCTAAGCCAGTGTTTCAGACCCCTATCAGTTTTTGTAAAGCAGCCTTGCAAATAAATACACCAAAGTTACTTCCTGCAGAATTTTCTTTTTTTAACCCACCTACTCATGCATGTTTATTTTGAAACACAATTAACTGTATTTCACTAGCAGACCATTAAAACCAGAAGTACAATTACCCAGCATTTCAGAACAACTTAAAAAAAAATCCCTAGAGCAAAGCACAAATCAGAGCATTCAGACCATAACTCTTTTTCACTTAAGCATGAAGATCAGTGTGAGATTCTGTAAGCTACTGAGTATACCATCTAATCTAACAAATGCTACTCTACCTGAGAGCATGAATGTATAAATATGAGTTTGTATATCCTTCAAAGAATCAAGCAGCACAGAAGAAAGGTCTAAGGTTTTTTAAATTTAGTTTTGAACTGACACTAAAGTAAAATAAATAAGATGAAAAATGCTCAGCCTCATGAGGTACAGACTTGGATATGGAAGGCTGCATTTCCCATTAATTTACCACCCAAAGAATGCAAATTTATTAATGTTATTTCTTACTAAATCAAGTTTAGTTCATAATTAATCATGAAAGCAAAAAAGACTGCTCTACAAACTGTGCCATACTGGGCACTTGAAGCTGTAACACTTTCTAAGGTAGCCCAAATACTAGTTTTACACTTTTTATACAGTTGCACTAAAGAACAACAAAGTGCCATCCAGTCGCAGCTGATTTATGGCAACCCTGTAGGGTTTTCGAGGCAAGAGACATTCAAAAATGGTTTGCCATTCCTTGCCGCTGTGTCATAACTTTTCCTTGATGGTTGCCCATCCAAATACTAACCAGGGCTGACCCTACTTCGCTTCTAAGACCTGATGAGATCAGGCTAGCCTGGGCTAAACATGCAGTAAAATTAATTGTTGTTCCAACATACAGTTCACTTCAGCTCTGGAACAGTATTAGATGGGATTCCTACATAGTCTTGGGCTAAGCTGTGTGCCAATGAAAACTCTGCATTCGTGTGCCTATCATGTTGTTGCCCACTCACACAATCAATTCTATGCACTCAAACGGTCACACAGGGCTGCCAACTTCTGAGTTGCTTTCTGCTCAATGGAGCATCCCATTTAGAGCTTTTGACACAGAAAGCATTTACTCTAAAGAAAACTACCACAGTGGATTATTATTATTTTTTTTTTGGTGGTAGGGACAGGGGTAGAATAGCCATGATCTCATCTACTTTTTTCTCCATGTGATTCAGAACATGTGATTGAGCCCCAAACAAAGGTCAATTATTTTACACGACCATCCTCTAATCCTATGCATACTTAGTCAACAATAAAAAATAAATCCTAACGAACGTAATGTAATTTGCTCCCCAAGCAAATGCACAAAGACTGTAATTGCTTGCAGCTGTTAATAAGGAAACGGAATTATTTTAAATTCCATAAATCTCAATGACAGACAGAACAGGCAGCTGGTCTACTTTATAACAAATATTCCCAGAAACATGCAGTGATTAAGCAAATAAATAAATAAATCTTTAATTCCACATCCTGTTATCTTCTGGAATGACAGTATAATATTATTATTTTTTAAATGCGGCGCCTTAATCTCTTACAGTTTTCTCTTAGGCCACCTACGATCAGCACCAGGGGGGTGATAAGGACGCGGCAACAACCGCCCCGGAGCCACCTCACGTCACCCGTACCTACCTACCTAACAAATGAGGAAAATCTACGGCCGGGCCACGGGTAAGGTTCCTCCGCCAGAGCATCCTCACGGCTCCCGCCACCGCCATGTCTATCCAGGGTGGGCGTGGCATTCAGCACCCCAACCCTTCGATGGCTCCGCAAGGAAGAGCGCATGCGTGATATGAAAGGAAGACGCGGCGATAGGAGAAGCGCATGCGCCAAAGTACTCCGCTATAATCATAGAGATGGGAAGGCTATTTTAAATCTAAGTGGTGCTATGGATCGCCTCGGTCGAATCTTTCATAAAGTTCGAAAGCCGGCTGAACGGTACCCAGTCTGAATTTCCTATAAAATTTAAAACCAGTAATGTTACATGAGCATAATGAATCGTAATATGTGTTTCTAACAGTGATATCAATGCCTCTCTCTCTCTCTCTCTCTCTGCCTAGTGTAAATTTCAGTCTCCATTAAAGGATTAGCGCTGGATTTTGATCCGGAAGTCGCAATAAAGGCTATGAAGCCGTGTGAGTTTAGCCTTTTTTATCTCTATGCTGAAGAACATAGACATATCAACAAATTTTACTGGACTGGAAGTTGCCTGGCAACAGGATTTCCTAGTAATGTTTAGTAATGTTTGACTTTTTATCGGTAGAGGGCATGATGGCCAATGGCTCATAGGGGACGATGGACACTGCCGTTCCAGTAATTAAAAACTGGCTAGTTCATAGAAAACAGAGAGTGAGTGTAGGTGGGCAATTTTCTCAGTGGAGGGTGGTAAGCAGTGGGGTACCGCAGGGATCAGTACTTGGTCCACTGCTTTTTAACTTGTTCATTAATGATTTGGAGATGGGAGTAAGCAGTGAAGTGGCTAAATTTGCGGATGATACAAAGTTGTTCAGGGTGGTGAAAACCAGTGAGGATTGTGAGGCACTCCAAGGGGATCTGTCAAGGATGGGCGAGTGGGCGTCAACATGGCAAATGGGGTTCAATGTGGCCAAGTGCAAGGTGATGCACATTGGAGCCAAAAATCCTAAATATAAATACACATTGATGGGGTCTGAACTGGCAGAGACTGAGCAAGAGAGAGATCTTGGAGTTGTAGTGGATAACTCACTGAAAATGTCGAGACAGTGTGTGACTGCAATAAAGAAGGCCAATGCTATGCTGGGGATTATTAGGAAGGGTACTGAAAACAGATCAGCCAATATAATAATGCCCCTATATAAATCAATGGTGAGACCTCATTTGGAATACTGTGTGCAGTTCTGGGCACCACACCTTAAAAAGGATATTATAGCTTTGGAAAAAGTGCAGAAAAGGGCAACTCGAATGATAAAAGGGTTGGAACACTTTCCCTATGAGGAAAGGTTAAAGCGCTTAGGGCTCTTTAGCTTGGAGAAAAGACGACTGAGGGGTGACATGATCGAGGTTTATAAGATTATGCATGGGAAAGAGCAGGTAAAGAAAGAGGTACTTTTCTCCCTTTCTCACAATACAAGAACTCGTGGGCACTCCATGAAATTGCTGAGCGGTCGGGTTAGAATGGATAAAAGGAAGTACTTCTTCACCCAAAGAGTGATTAACACTTGGAATTCACTGCCACAGGAAGTGGTGGGTGCTACAAGCATGGATGGCTTCAAAAGGGAATTAGATAAGCATATGGAGCAGAGGTCCATCAGTGGCTATTAGCCACAAGGTATAGCTAGGGGCTCTGGGGCAAGTGATGCTCTGTCTTCTTGGTGCTTGGGGGGGGGTCAACAGTGGGAGGGCTTCTGGTGTCCTGGCCCCACTGCTGGACCTCCTGATGGCACTGGTATTTCTGGCCACTGTGTGACACAGAGTGTTGGACTGGATGGGCCTTTGGCCTGATCCAACATTGGTGTCTCTTATGTTCTTATTAGATAGAACGTGTGGTCACCGATTACGCCCCGGAAAAAAACCCTAGAAACAAACGCAGGAATTCTTCCTTTGAAGTCAGTTTTGTTTTTTGTGTGTTTAGCTTTTTCAAAGTGCTGTAAAGGCTTCTTGCTTGCGTTTGGTGTAGAGAAGAAACTGACGAATATTACAAGAGTGCTTTGATCGTCACCTTTTCAAATCACGGAGGCACCATATCTATAATTTTTTAGGAGCTGCAGGGCTGTTTCATTCCGTAGAATTTTTAGTGGGGTGTATGTTGGAACCGGAGCAGTTTGATCCGAAAGAAACGGGATTGCGCTTACCTCCTCACTGCACAGCACATCGCGATATTAAAGCATTTACCAGCAATTTGCTTGCATTATAAGGCCATTAAGGGAACACGCATTGCTTTTGCAAATAGAAAGAATAAGAGAAAGAAATAGAGCTTTTTGCGGAAACAAGCTTGCATGACCATATTAAACGTTGCTAGGCCGTTACTAGGGAAGTACTGACCTTGCTTGTTGTTGACATGTGATCAGCCAAAGAATGTTTGTGGTTTTGAAAAGGAACACAATGCTTCACACTCATGGTCAATGTTTTGTGATAAATTTTAATTCTAAGAAATGACCAGGAAAAATGTTTTTTTTGTATTCTATGGAAAATCTATTTAAGTATCTGTCCTGGGTACAGCATTCTGGGTACAGCTCTGTTTTGAAAGTGCCCCGAGGTACTTTTAGCTGTACCTGCGCGCATAATAAACAACTGTTGTTGACTCTCCTTCCTGAATCTCTGGTGGTCTGTCAGAATTCCCGCTACAGTATGCCTGTCCACACTTTAGGTGCTCAGCAGTTTTTAAATTTTATTTTTACACAGTTTGCACATGCGCATAGGCAGGCTTTGCGCAGGCGCAGAACCCAACCCGGAAAGCATGCCTTGAAGCGAAGATGTCCGAAACTGGCCTCCATGGGGTCCCGGACTCATCTAAAGCCTTACACTAGGCCCCCCTTTTTTGTTTTACAAATGCCGGGGCGAAGCTTCGCCCAAGCGCACATCGAGGAGACTTAAAAAAAACGGTGGCAGAAAAGCGGAAGCCTCAGGCTTCTGAACGGAAGTGGCTAGACACCAGCAGAGAGCGATCAGACAGGGATACTGCGGTTGGAACCGGTGCACTCAGGATACCAGCACTTGGGGACCTAGTAGCAGAATACAACGGTTTAAAGCTGTTTGTAACGGTTAGGGATGGAAGGCAGATGTTTGCTGTGTGATCGCCCGTAGGTACACCGATTCCAACCGGCATCTATACCGGCATAAATGCCCCATCTGAACGCACCCATAGATGGACAGGGGAACCTGGAAAGAAATGCAGTAAGAAGTGAATTCATTCTCAGAAGCCTTTACTTGCTTAATGTAACTATGCAATCCTAAGAACACTTTCGGGCCCAAGTAGTATTCTGAACACACCATGACCATTGGACCATATGAACACTAATAAAATCTAAATGAGAAATCAGACACATTGCTCAAAAATAAAGATATTTTAAAACATTTATTTAAATGTTATTACAACATGCAAGATGCAAAAAATTTAGAAAACTTGTAACATCATATAGAGAAGGAAAATCACAATACCTGATAGAAATTTTATAAACCAATGCCATTTGTTTCTGGAATTTATCTTCAAACCCTGAAAATACTGTAAATCAGATCTCCTTTTAAGACTACAAACTAGGCTTTGTGGTAACAATTCCTTCCTTGCGTTATCATTCACAGTTCCTTTCTGTCTGGGGTATATAATTTATAGTACATTCATCAAGCTATCTACTCCAAAGTCTCAATGAAATGAAAGGAATATTGCCTTAAACAATCATTCTAAGCACTATTAACGTGGATGTAAATTTCAGTGCTATTTACCTTCAAGTAAATGTGTTTAGTTTTGTGGCATTTGAACTACTGTAATCGCATTTCTTGGGTATACCATATCTTACACGATTTATCTCTTCATGCCGGATATACTTTTAAATGACAACAATTTCGCCAAGTGTGTTTTATTATTTATAATCTGCTTAAACAAGTAACAGTTTTAACTTATTGCACTGAAAACATGGCACTTAGTCAAATTACTAAAAGAGAACATCAGACACAGACTTGAAGTTCAAAATTTAACCAATCCTTTCAAGACTGAAAGTGTATTTTTAAATAGAAAAGATCTCTACAAGAGAGGTGTCGTAGTCTCGACTACATGAAAATTATAGACTTATTAAGATTGTCTTGGGCTCATGCTAGACGACCTACTAAAACTGGCCTACTAAAACTGTTGCTGATCCCCTGGGTCAAAGTCAACCACTGGTCACATAATTTCAGTATTAGTATGTTTTATACACTGTACTTGGCTCCAGGGAAATCGTTTCTTTGTTTTAATTCATATATTTCTTTCAGCAGAAAGCTTCTTCATGAACATTTATGGGAAATGCATTATTTTGATTGACGATATGTATGATATAAATGCACATGGTAACAGGACATAATTAATGTTTGATAGTGACCCTGGGGATGGAATTAGGAGTGATAATAGCAGCAGCTATTTAGTTCACAACACATAACAACTCTACATATCTAACATTCAGGCATTCATTAAACCACAACCAGTGGCCATAGGAGGGTGAAGGAACTAAAAAATCCGTGTGTTGTAATGGTTAGTGTTGGATTGGACTGGGGAGACCCAGGTTCTAATTGGCAGTAGACTTAAGAAGTTCAGTAGGTAACCTTGGGCCAGTCACACACACACACAGTCTAGGACTGCCAGCTCTGGGCTGGGAAATTTCTGGAGATTTTGGGGGTGGATCCTGGAGAGGGCAGGGCTTGGGGTGTGGAGGGACCTCAGTGGGGTATAATGCCATGCCATACACCTTCCAGAGCAGCCATTCTCTCCAGGGGAAAAGCTCACACCTTGAATAAAACTTTGTTGGTCTTAAAGGTGCCACTGGACTCTAACTTTGTTCTAGAGAGGAGTTGTAATACTAGAAGATCTCCAGCCACCACCTGGAGGCTTGCAACCCTAATTCAGCCTCACCTACATCACAGGGTTGTTGTGGAGACAAAATGCAAGATGGGAAAACCATATATATTGCCTTGGAGGAAAGGTGGGATAAAATGTTTATCTTGAAGTGAGAAATACTGCTACTGCTTTGGATTAACCTTGATAGATTCAAGGGCTATAACTGATGACTAGTCATCTCTGCACCCACAGAAATCATCCCAATTTATGTCATCTGATCCTGGAAGCGTATGTAAGGGTACCTAAAAATCTCTCATGGCCCTTGTGTGGAAAGCTTGGGTTTGTAAATATTCTTATGGATTATAGGGAATTATTCTCCTGCCACAACCACAAAAGTTCTGAATTAAGCTTTGCCTATTACACCCAGTGTTGAATTTTGTGGAAATGTCAGTATTCAGTGATGGTGAAAATGCTGAAATTTAAAACACGACTGTAGCTTTTTGAACTGCAGATCTACCAATTCTGACTTGCTGCAATTGAAGGGAAAAAAAGAATACATTCTTTTGATATTAAATAATTTGCTACAGACAGAAAACATTAAGTAACAGCTTAGAAAGCTCTGGAAATTAAGGATGTGAGGCAAATAAGAGACTTGTGTATGTGGCTGTTCATTTGATAGTGTTCTCTGAACTCCTTAAAACTAGAACGTTGCAAAATTTTGTGTGTTTACATTTGAAGTTAGCCTCATACCTGTAGTATTTGTTCAGAGTTTTCAACAGAACAGTTTTCAATACTTGTTAACATTTATGAACAATTTTATACATTTCCATTGCATAAATCTAAATCTCATTATATACTGTGAATCTTTGGATCTGTAATGAACCAAGACAAAAACTTCATGCACTCTAGTTTTAAAATTTGTTACACTGCACCTGTAAGGAAGAGAACTTTATAATTGTACAGCAACTAAGCACAATAAAAACAGGCATTGTCACCTTTGCGTTTCATTTCTTATTGGCACATAGTATTTTTAAACGTATAAAGTTTACATTTATCAAATAAATCCTGCATGATAACATTTATAAGAAATTACCATACACACTATATGCCAGGCACATGATGATATGATTATCCATTTGGGAGCACTACAGTCTTTTAAGCATCTTTTCTTCTGCTAGAACAGTGATTAATACATCTAAGAATTAATGTTCCCAAAGACAGCATATGTTTTATTTTGGAAAATAAAGGGAGTTCTTGTTATTTTATGTGGTTTTACCAATGTGACTAAGTATGGCTTTTCTTTCCCAGATGTGAGGCTATTATTGCATTACGCCCTGTCAATGAACCTTTGCGCAATTTTGCTATAACATGAAGTGGGTGTAGCCTTCTGCTCCTGTAACTATTACATCCATCCATATCCGCATAGCTTCTGGTGTTGGAGCCACCATATAATAGATTCTGTCATGTGTCTTAACGCTGAAAGTAAGTAATGGATTAGGACTCTGGGGAAAAAAGAGTGACAACATGAAATTAATAGTCTAAATATAAATTTTCTAGCAATAACCTGCAGCCTCATGACTAACTACTGAAAAACACAGATGTGGACTTTTCCATTGCTGGTTATCAGTTACAGACTAAGGCTGTTGTCACACACACTAAATAATCCACTTTCAGTGAACTTTCCAACTGGATTTTACTGTGTGAACTGGCAAAATCCAGCTGGAAAGTGCATTGAAAGTGGATTATTTAGTGTGTGTGACCGCAGCCTAAGATTCATCGCCTTCCACAGCTGAAACAAGACCAAGTGGAAAAAAGAACAGAGCTCTAACAGTTACAAAGACAAGTGGATTTAAATAAGCACAAATTTCCTAATATCTGTGCCAAAACATGCATCTGTCAAAACATCTACACAATTATGAAATGTACAAGAACCCTGTTCACATTTGTATCAGGCTGTCCTATAGGGAAAACTACATGTATTCACGTTTCTTTTCTATTACAATCTGTGAGTAGAAATTGTTATTGTTGCCTTAAAAGACACTGTAGATGTCAAGTAATATTTCATACATTTCTGAAATGGGTTTTCACTCCACTTTAAAAACATTCTGTAATATTTGTATATTTTCATTTCCCACTTTGGATGGGGAAGGTATATCATTCTCGCATGTACCTGTCTCACCCAACCCATCTGAAGATGGCCATATAAATATTACTGAACAAGAAGCACTTTAAAGACTAACAAAATTTGTGGCAGGGTATGAGCTTTCATGAGTCACCGAAGAAGTGAGCAGTGACTCACGAAAGCTCATACCCTGCCACAAGTTTTGTTAGTCTTTAAGGTGATACTGGACTCTAGCTCTTTTGTATTGCTACAGACAGGCTAACATAGCTTCCCATCTTGAAATATTACAGAACTATTTTAAAGTATTTATCATAAGCCCAGATCTGCTTTTTCTCTGTACCAGGACCACCATTACATTTGTACACCTATTGCAACCTTTTTCCCCCAAAATGCACTCTTTATGAATTACCTAGAGTGTTTTATCTCAGTTGCTTGACATGAACTATATGCTGATAAGAAATAATGAGAAGCAACAACACTTAAAATTCAAGCATTCTTATTATCTAGCTCTTTTATCTCTCCAAAGGAACTTCCTATTTTTTTTGTTTCTGTCCTTGTATTGTATAGTTGTATGCAATTTTTTTAAATGAGCATTTTGACCTGAAAAAAACCTGGAGATTAACAGTGATTTCCTAGGGCCATCACCTAGCCTTATTTGGTATGACCGCCAATTAACTATTTATTTACTTTATTTATTTATTGTCTACCTTTCTTGCTGAGACTCCAGGTGGATTATAGAGTGTAAAATATATAAGACAAACTATGAATACTGTGAATTTGTTGTTGATGCTGTTTACCTTATAGGCATTCTTTAGATGATCATAATAGACTTCTTCAATGGCTTGGAAATAAATTACTCCTTTTAATTTAGTTTCATGTTTGTCTAAAATAACAGAAAGGAACTCAGATGAAAATTTACACATAATCAAATAGCAAATGCCATGTGTATTTATGTATTAAGAAAACCTCTACTTTTTCCTGAGTTAAAATATTTGTATGCAACACACTCATTCAATGTGTGGATGTGTACTAGCAGCAGAAGTAAAAGTTCAGTCTTTCATACTGGAATTTCTGAAGAAGCATACGGGCCATGACCCCAAACTACACTGTTTCTTATATCCAAGTATTCAGGTTGTTTCTCAGGCCAACTGCAATTTTGGTGCTTTCTGTGGTCTTTAGTTAAGGGAGGTGGTAGCCATCTGAAATGGCTGACCCTATGTCAAGGAAAAACACTCAGTAGGTTGCCAGGTTCCCCCCCGGCTCCAGATTGGGAAAATCCTGGAGATTTGGGGATGGAGCCTGGGGAGGACAGGGACCTCAGTGAGGTATAATGCCACAGAGTCCACCCTCCAAAGCAGCCATTTTCTCCAAGGGAACTGAGCATTGTAGTCTAGAGATGAGCTGTAATTCCAGGGGATCCCTTGGTTCCACCTGGAGGCTGGCATCCCTAGCTGGCTAACTCTACATCTAATCTCAGCAGAAGGAGAGGATGGTGAAGAATTGGTATACAGAATGTGAGCAAGAAATGGAAATTTAAAAATGCAATTTTTTTATCATAGGGCTATTCAAAATGCCCTCTACTGCAAATGAGGAAGTTAAGGCCTCCCCCAATCATTCTTCTCTGGTCCTGTTTCCCTTTCTGGAACTGCTTATCTGACAGTCACTGCAATACATTTTGCTCCCTATGTGAGTATTGTCTAAATTGCAGAATCTGATTTTAACCAGTGTTCCCTCTAAACTGAGTTAGTACAAGCCAGCTCACCTTTTTTTTAGCCTCCGGCTCACACATTTTTGTCTCAATTCAGGAAAGATGGCTCCAGAGCAAACTAATTTATGCAGCGCTCAAATCGCTCGCTCACAACTTTAATGCCAGTAGTTCACAAAGAAGTTTTGTTCACAAGACTCCACAGCTTAGAGGGAGCATTGATTTTAACCCTAGTCATTTTTGTAGAAATGGAACAGCATTGGCCTTGCTGAAAAGTTCTTTTGAGCAAAAGTGTTTAGGATTAGGCTGGATTTGCTAACAAGTAGTTTATCTGTATGTCTCAATGGGATCATAACTAGATTGATTAGCGAACTGTTAGTAGGGTGAGTTACTACAATGCAAATTATGACTTGGGAAGCATCAGGACTAGTAAACAAATTATAAAATGCAGAACCCACAGAATTTAACAAAGAAGCAAGCTCCAAGCAATCCATGTTAGACACAAGGTACAACTCACCTGCATAGTAAGAAAAAGTTCTCTTGTTTCTGTCAAAGACAAACCACCGTTTTTTCCATGTTTTAATTTTTCCACCCATCTTAATAAGAAAGCCTCGGCAGGTCTTCTCAGTAAGTGAAACATGGTAACAAGTCTCTATGTTGTGACCAGCTGTCTCTATATGGCCTCGTAAATCAAAATCTTCCTTTCTGACCGGCAAATAACGAGTCAAAGGACGAGACTAATAAGAAAAACACACACTGTTATATTGGTTTATTTTTTTCTGAATACAAATATAATACAACTCTCAGTTCCTAACTGACACTCTTAACTGAAGAATTCCATTTGAATTCCCTGTTACTCAGGGGTCCCAGGCCAGGCTAACACATTAACCATTTACTGTCTGTTACACTTGTGTATAATCTAACCACTGAATATACATACACTATTAATGAAAAAAATATTTATTGAACACATGAAATTGCCTTACACGGAATCAGACCATTTGGTCCATCAAGGTCAGGCTTGTCTACTCAGACTTGGTAATGGCTCTCCAGAATCTCAGGCAGAGGTTTCTCATACCACCAACTATCTGATCCTTTTAACTGGAGACGCCAGGGATTGATTCTGGGACCTTCGTACTCTACTGCTCGGCTTTGGCTCCTCCCCAAGTGACACCTTGGCCAGATGATGTACAAAGCATGGAGATGCTCATATATGGAACAGTACAGTATTAATAACAGATTACTTACTTGTGACCTTTGCTTCTCACGTATCTTTACTTCTTTTTCAATTAGTTTTTGTCGCTGGCTAGTTTCTTCTTGCAACCTTTTCTCTAGTTGCTCTCTGCGACGCTTTTCATCTTCTAATGCTCTTTTCTTAGCTTCCATTTCTCGTTCCTAAAAGCCATATCATACATTGAATCATAAATTGAACTTTATGCTAACTTTAAAATACCAATTCATCTCAAAAACAGTGCCTTATAAACCCGATCATCAATCTGGCAGCCTGATCTTAAAAATCTGCACTGTCTGATGTCTCTACATGTTGCTTAAGGCCAATGTGATGTTCTGTTTTTTTTAATTAATGTTCTACTGCTGAATCTCTAGAGAAATGCCAAAAGATCTCAGAAATAATGTGATGGTGCAACAGTCCTTAATATGTGTTACTGCTGCTATTCTACTATGTGTACCATGGATATCTTTAAAAGGCATTAGAAATGATACTGGGCAATAGTATTGGTATGATATTACAAGCATCAACAATGAGGATTTGACGTGAACTGAAATCTGGAGAGAAAATGGGGCAAGAAAATGAGGGCTGCACAGCCAGCATGGCAATGATGTCACTTTCAGTTATACTCTTGCAATCCCCCCAAACCCTATGGTAAAGCTATACAGTTTGTCATTTCCAGTTACGTGATTGGAAGTGACATTGCAACATTGCATGATGTTGGACTTTAGTCCAAAAAGCTTTATGTAGACAAAAAAAGTAAGCAGTCATGTTGGTTCTTAGCAAAAGTACAAACCAAAAGCCATGTAATAGCTTCAAACTATACTTTTTTTTGGCAGAATATTTGCTAGGAATATTTTAAAGTTACCCTCGATTCAAGCAATCGTGTTTTTTCAGCGTGAGCTTGTTTCAAAAGTCTTTCCATCTCTTCTATTCTTGCAACATTTGAAGTACTGGCACTGTAAGAAAAAATATTTCTTTGAGTAAGCAGTTCAACAGAAAATACAGTGTTCACAGTATTTTAAAACTGATAATTTAGGATGTATGAGAAGGATACATGCCAGTCCCATTAGCATGTTCACAGGGGAGAAATGGCCCTGCCCCCAGCCCATCTTAGCCCTACCTCCCAAAGGAGAGAGCGAGAGCACCTGCCCAGCCAGCCCCAAGCAGGAGGTGCCTGACCAAGACAGATGGACAGGCAGGTGAAGGCTGGGCCAGGTGATGGTGGACTGGGAGGGTGCATTCCTTACTGCAGTGCGCACTCCTTCCCCGCACCTCCAGTTTGTACCCTCCCCTCTCTCTGTGGGCTGCAGTGGCCCTGGTAGGGGGAAGGTGGCCACAGTGGGGGACCCTTATGCCATCAGCCCACTGGAACTGTTCCCAGTAACCTTAATGGCCAGTCCTGTATGTTTGGGTAACTAAACACAAATTTACTGAAACAATATATGATGCACATATGTACATGTGCCTAACAAAGAATTATTGTTTAACACAAGCAGTACTTTATTAAATGTACATGGCAGTGCAAGCTTAAGCAGAGTGCAACTCTGCTTAGAACTGCACTGAAAAGATGATTTAATTAACAGAATAAGACTAACTTACCAAAAGTTAATGAAACAATATTTCTTGTACATGGAAGATTTTAAAATCAGTATCAGCATCTCGTATTTCTAATTACATTTACTGCAGTAATTAAATATTGCCACAGTTTACCTGGAAATGTTATCTGGGGAGCAGGCAGATATACTGGTTTCCATGCTGTCAGAACTGTCTAAGCTTAGAGTATCAAAGGCATGGTCCTTGTAACTGTGATCAGGATAATGGAACGTGTTCAGATACACATTAGACTCTGAGGCAGTTCTGCTGTAGAACTCAGGAGATTTCTGGCTTTCATCTTCACATATAAGCTGGTGGTTATATCCTAAAAACAGAAACAGGAAATGGATGTTGGTTTCCCTTTGTTTTGTATTTCAGATATTCTGGAATGAAAATGCAAAAGCATTTTGAACATTGTTCCATTCTGAATCATATGAGTAGTGTAACCATTTCCTAGTAAGAATTGCTCTTGAGATACTGACAACTGATTGGAATTTCAAGTATTTTCACAATTTTTGATTTGTATTCTCACGTTACTTAAGAAGCTCATTGTCTGCCTTGATCCCCTTTTGTAAAATGGGATTTTACATGAAATATTCTAATTTCTGACTTTAATTCATGGATACAAACATGAGAGTTATGTGGTCAAATATCTTAATCTGGGAATTGATACAGATAGGCCGATTTTTCCCTATCCCTGACTTAGTATCTTCTGCTGTCAAGGCCTTGGAAGTCTGGTATTTTTTTTCCCTTTTCTTCCTTCACTGCAGAACCTGAGAGAGTCCTGGGCAAACCCAACTGTGCAGTACCCAGCCACTGAATCTCATCTCTATTTTCCAGAACCTCCAGTTCTCCGACCCCTTTGCTGATGCAACTACAAGGTCGCAATTTACTACATCCATGTAAGTTTCAAACAACAAAATGGAAGAAAAACACTGACTACTGTTCGGGTTATTGCAGATGACTATGACAAAAAAGAAATTGTGAAATCATTCAAAAAGAAATTTATTTTTAATGGTGCTGTAACTGAACATCCTGAAAAGGGGGAAGTGATCCAACTGCACAGTGACTAGAGGAAGAATGTTTGCCAATTCCTTGTGCAGGCTGGCATTATTAAGGGAAATCAGCTGAAGGTTCTTGACTTCTAAAATGTGTTTGCTTACAGAAAGAACTCTGCAAGTTTTGTTCTTACCACAGCTGGCTACTCTGTGAAATATGATTCTTTGCATTAATGGACTTTCCATTCAAAATCTGATTTGCTTTTGCATGACCACATAAGACATATGGAATATAGACTAGAAACACATTAAAAATGGCAGTAAGATTGTCATGAAAGATTCTGGAGAATTTTAACACATTTCCAATGGAAATGTTTTCCTGCTGATCTTTCAGCATATTGCTTTTCGCCTAATTTAAGTGTTATATTGAAACTATGTTTGTTGCAGCTTAAATAAAATACCTCTTATCTTTTTTAAAAAAGAGAGAGAACTTCTCATCTTTTACCTGGCCATGGCAGCCGAACTTCAGGAAGTTTATGGTCATTACATTAATTCTGTGCTATAATACTGTTTTCATACTGTACCCTACTTTTTTCATGCCTGCAACAGATTTGTTGGAGGGAAAGTGACTATGTTCAAATCCCTTACACACTTTGGCCCACCTATCCTTCAAATATTGGTAGCTTGTTTTGTATGCTCCTAAATATCAGAAACAGACTGAAGACACTGATTATTCCTCCTCTACTGACCAGATGTGCCTTAAGTATACTAAGGTCAAGAAGAGCATTCTAAAAATTATTAGAATTCAGATGATCATTTTATTAATCTAGTTTCTAGTTCACATAGTTTGATACAAAGCATTTCAATATGACAAACTAGAACATGACAAACTTGGGGAAATTTCAAAATACAAGCCGTAAAAAAACTTTAGACAGAAGTTTTATGGAAAATATCAGGTTGAAAGAGATGAGCGTTACCTTTGATACTTGCACTTTTGGAATGACTAATAGCTCCTTTTAAAAAGATTTTTTTGGTAAGAGAAAAGAAAAAAAACAAATTACTGTAAATTCAGCCTTTTGCATATGTGAAATACAAATGCAAGAGGAAAGCACTTTTTATGTACACTAGTTTTTAGTAGTTATTCAGTTCTCCCCTTACATGCAATCAGGATTAATTTACTGTAGGACAACTTGGGGAAATTTCAAAATACAAGCAGTAAAAAAAAGCAGACTTCAACACACACAATAGTTATAGGCTTGCCAAGCTCCCCCGGGGGCGGAGAAAAGAGGCCCGTTCCCAGCCGGCGGTGGATCGGGCCCCGGGGGGAACCCCACCCCGATGTGCATGTCACCCGGAAGTGACACGACCACGCCGGGCACGCTGGGGGCGGGACCACGGTCATCCGAGGGAAAACTCTATGGTTTTCCCTTGAATGGTTGTGCCCCCGCCCCCAGTGTGCCTGGCGTCGTCACGTCACTCCAGCCACCAGCCGGGAGTCCCCCGCTGCGGCTCAAAAAGCACTTGGCAACCCTAAATAGTTATAAGTAAACTGAAATAAAATCAGAGTCAAATTATTCAGGGCGGAAAAAAAATTTAACTGCTGAAGTGCTATGTTTTGCATGTTACAGATTCTCACCAGCAAAATATAGAACTTCCCTGCTCTTGTCTTTTTACGCACAAGTAGGTATGCATCTCATTTCATACTCATAAATATATTTATTTTATTAATTTTATTATACTTCTATCCCACCCTCCCCCGCAAGCAGGCTCCGGCAGTTGAACACACAGTGGTGTCCACATTATTAATTATACTCCAGGTTGCATAGAAGAGGGAAAACTGAGACAGTAGCAAGAACAGCAGTGCCAAGTCATTAGAGAAAGATAACCTCTGACTCTGTTGCAGTCAGAGGCTGCTCCATACATAGTGTGTAAAGGCCCCTCCTGACTTAGGAGGGAGGGATCTTTAAAATATCAGTATGCCTACATGTGACTGTTTTTGTTGTTCTTGAGATTTGTTTTCAAGGCTTTGAGCTAGATCTAGTTCAGAGGGCACAGTCCCTGTCTGCTTCTCTAGGCTAGCATTAAGCGCCCTATAAAGAGAACTTCTCCTGGAAAAGATTCTAAATGGAGTTAGAAAAATTCAGATTGAGTTGTCTAAATTAAAGGACTGGCGGATACAGAGCTTGAGCTGAGTGAGAAAATAGGGTGCTGCTTCTTTTATTATGGGGGACAATTCATTTTAGGAGGATCTGGAAGGAAAATAAATGAGTGGGGATTTGAGTCAGTGAGTCAGTGACATGCCTCTGAAAGCTTACAAGTAAGTCTTCCCATTATTTGCCTCTTTTGCTTAGAATGCTGATTTTTTCTGGACAGCATTGCTCCATGTAAACCTCATGGGTTATTGGTGCTGACAGATATGTTCCATGAATGTAACTCATCCATTTAAAAAGCCATCTAAGGTAGACCTACTATGTGTCCTTCTATGTGTCTATTATATATAGTCTGAAGAAGCCAACTATACAGACATCATTTTGTAGGGCTGCTTTAATTTATTTTCCTTTTTATTTCTGCACAAATGGAACATCTGGGAAGGGCAGGAAGAAGGAGCAATTTAGAGCATGGCATTCCATAGCATTATAGGACAAGTTGAGTCAGAGGTATAATTTGGAAGGTTTTGTATTTGGGCTCAGACTTGTATGTTGTGATCTCAGGCAAGCCACTTGCTTTTCAGCCTCACTAGTTTACTTTCTGTGAAATGGAGATTATGCTGCAGTAACAGTAAAAAAAAAAAAGTAGGGTCAAAGCAAAGGTTTGGTTTCTGGGGCACAGCCTCATACTTGATTTGTTAGTTTGGGCAAGTAAGTTTGTCTCCACTGTTTTCCAACAGTGACCAGCTAATTACAAGCAGGGCATTTATTTTGGCCTCCTTTCCACACCACTGCTCTAGATGGAAAAACAAACATCATAAAACAATTTAATGTATTAAACTGAATTTGCCCCAAACATCTTGTGTAGGAGAGCAGATACTTAACTACCAAGAGTATTCTACTGCATTATAAAGAATTATGGTGGAGTAACACACATTTTTGTGGGATGGATAACAATGTTTTTGTATAGTCTGTTCAGTTTACCATTAAACCATACAGCCATGCAAAACCACATCTGATATAGAAACAAATAGAATTAAATCATTTTAGAGGGTAAATGGGGATATTGCAAAAAGCAAACAACAAATTAAAACACTGAAGTAAAGCAGCAAAATCAGTTATTTAAAGCACTTAATTTCCCCCCCACTACAATCTGATAACATGGAACAATACTGAAGTCAGAACTATGCTTTTAATACCTTTTCTTTGGGGAGGATTTGAAGGAACACAGTCAAGTATAGTTATATTTAAAATATCTTTTTTGTCTTAGAAATAACAGCAGTCATGCAATCTTAGTACCTTATTAAAATTAACTATAAATTATTTTCACTTGGATTGGAGTTACACAGAAGACTGTCTGTCCAAATCCCTCTGTATGTTAATATAATTGATCCCACATTAGCTGCAATGTGCTAAAATTGCCCCTCCAACAGCACCAGCTTGTGAGGGGGGGGCAGGAAAAATCCCAGTGCAATACATAAATAAATAAATGCCACTGAATGCTGCAGAATGGGAGGGGAAAGGAGGCCGTTGGGAGGTGGTGAAGCTGCTTGGGGCACGACTGCAGCACTGTGCAGTTGCACAGACTCTCAGTGGCTAGTAGAACCAAGTGCCAACAAGTGATGTTATTCCATGTTTACACAGGGTTCCACTAGCCACTTAAAAGCTGAGCCACAGGAGCTCAGCTCCCTCCTCTTCCTGTCATTAAGGGCACTACCTTTCCTTCCCTGTCACCAGTGCTCAGTGGTGGGCCTGGGATATTCTCGACAAGCCACTTCTGCACACCAGAAAGCATGCAAGTAACATGTACATCTCTTGGTGGGCTGGAGTGACCCAGGAAAACCCTCAGGTGATTATGCAAGGAGGTTTTTGTATGTTGGGTTCATTTTATTTTTCTACCAGATCAGTGATGTGCCTGAAAAAATTAACATAATTATAAAGCTGCTTTATACTTAGACAGTTGGGTTGATCTAGCTCAGCACTGTCTAATCTGACTGGCAGTACCTGTCCAGAGACTCAAGTAAAGCAAGGTCTTTCCCAGCACCTGCTACCGGAGTTTTTTAACTGTAGATGCTGAGGGGCTTTAGTCTGGAACTTCCTGAATGCTAAGCATGTGTTCTGCTGCCCCAGGCCTTTTCCCACTAAAATGGGCCCATATGAACAGAATGGGCCATTTTTGTGGGCTTGTAATTTTTGTAGGCTTATTTTCAAGGCTGTACTTTCGGATATCTATACTCTGTTCCTTCTATTCTCATTGCAGACAAGGCCACAGTGCAGGGGGTTCAGTGAAAATAAAGCTATGAGGCCAAGTGTCTTACACCACTGAAGGAATTTGGTGGTAAAGCTCTGATACTTTTCAGCTGGGTGTGCTGCAATTCCAAGGCTTTACTATCAACCAGCAGCAATGATTACCTGACAAAAGTTTAACAATATGGACTTTCAACACAGTTTCACTCTAAACAACTTGATGGTGTTCCTTTTGTCAGTATTGTCCGCTACAGCAAACATATACATTCACATAAAGGATGTTTCTCATACCTTTTTTGCCTTTTCCTGATTTTAAAAAGACAAAAACAGTTTGTTTGTTTTTAAAAAGGTCCTTTATACTATACGCATTTAGAAGAAGAAGAAATACACTTTCTAAAACAAATATTCTACCAAGTACATTGAAGACAAGCTACAGTTAAGGAAATCAGGAATGGGAAAGTTGAGCTAGCCAATCTGTCTCCTAGAACACATTTTTTCCCTAATTGCAATGCGTTATGCATTTGAAAATCCTACTTAGATATAAATTCTTGTGGTTTCAGTGGACTTTATTTCCATGTAACCTTAGGTTCTGGCTTAGGTTACACCCTGGTGGGGGTTCTCCAGTTTTGGGTGTTCCTCTCTACTGCCAGCAAGCTGGCTGGTGATGGGAATTTCCCTCCCAACAGGGAAGAATGCCAAAAATAAACATGACATGCTTACACGACCCAGAAGTGACATAGGCACCTGGGGGGGACACTCGGTTTTTGGGCAAAACTCTATAGTAGAAGCTAATTCTACCATAGAGTTTTGCCCCAAAACCAGGGCATTGTCCCCCCCTCCCCAACATGCCTACTTCACCTCCGGGTCACGTAGGCACATTGCATTTATTTTCAGTTTACCCCCAATACCCTGCTGGCAGGTCCAAGGGTATGTTTATGTTAAGCTCCTGTGGCTTAACATAAAAAAATCGATCCACCTCTCTCAGAAGGCCAGATAACAACCTGAAAGTTTGAATTACTTAAACATTTCTAATATTTATTGCATTTTGATAGCTGCTACTCATGTGCTAAGCCCAATCCATGTCTATGAAGCCTTGACTGACTCTGACAACAAGAGGCCAGTTGTAGGACCAGACATCTAGGGATATGTTCCAGTTGCCTTTATGTAGTTTTCATTTAATGTGCATTGTAAATCACAAGGGATATTCATCAACCATCCTAACCCCTAGTACTCCAAACACTTAATAACTGATCCAAACAAGAAAGCTTTTTGACATTTAAGGAAGGCTCAGGGAGACACTAACAATTAAATAAACCTCCCTCCCATGTGCACTGCTCATAATTCATGTATGTGCCTGCATCAAGACCATGGAAACAACAGCTCTAGATGTGACTGGGAGTGGCACTTTTTAAAAGTAACACTTAAAATCGGATTCTACAAACTCAAGTACTAATCGGAAAAATATAAAAGATCAAAACCACTAAAGCACCAAAGGATTATGGATTTTCAAGTATGGTATTCTACTTTTAATCAGTCTAAAAATATTGCCCACTGAATGGAACTATTCTTATAAAATAACAAAGCACATAGAATATATCTAAATGATCTGTGTAAATTAACTTCATTTCCCATTTTTACTCAAGAGACCTATAAGCTAAATGTTAAATATTACAAAAACTAATAAGAAAATTAATTCCATAAAAATGTTGTGGCTGAAACATTGTACCTTAAACAGTGTATTTACAAATCAAAAAGAGAAACAAATGTCCAAGTACCGATTCTGGTGATTACCATTGAGCTGCATTCGGGATTTTGTTCAGTAATGTTTTATTGCATACTAATATAGGAAGAGTTGTTGAAGAGCCTTACCTCTATGCACCCTCCTTGATTCAGACTCTTTGGTCAAACAATGGGGAAGAACACTGCCACAGCTGTTACTTTGTCCAAGTGGCAAGTGACCCTGTATGAAATAGTGCAAATGCCTAGTTACAGGTACTGTTCATTCAATGTAGTAAAGAATAAGAGTCCAGTAACACCTCAAAGACTAACAAAATTTTGAAAGAAGAATTCGAAAACAACTGGCGAGTTTTCTATGACTATTACTGATTTCTTTAGTTCTATATCTGAAAGGTTTAATAGTATACGATAATACTATAAGACAGTTTTAATATGAAATGAAGAGTAGTATGTGTTGTTTATTATAACAAATTGTGTGAAATCTTATAAAAATTTCTATAATGTTATCTATGTTATACTATATAACAGACTAGATCGATAAGATAAAAACAAAAATATAGTATTAGAAAATGGTAGAATGAGTAAATCATTATACAGGTTATTTAAGTTAATAGGTCATATATATTTTAAGCTATATTCTTATGCCTTACACCATATATATCTTGTTAAACATTTAGGCTATTATACCATATACTTTTTTACATATAGATATGTATATTTTGAATAAGGAATGTCCTCAATATCTGTAAAATTGCCCTCGCACTAGGTTTCTGGTAATTATATTTTCTATCTGTTTTTCCCTATTCCTTCTTTTTTCTGTATCCCTTATAATAAAAAAAATAATTTTAAAAAAGACTAACAAAATTTGTGGTAGGGTATGAGCTTTCGTGAGTCACTGCTCACTTCAGATATCTTGATCTATGTTCATTAATTGTTATTCAGATCATTAACACTTTCATGAGTGACTTGTGCTTCCTGCTCTACATTCTTTGCAATGCCTGAAGTGGTACTGTTGTATCTCCTGTCTTTTTGTAAAACTTGCAAGCTGTTTCTGGAATTGGAGGATTCATTTCAATCTACAAGAGATGTTAGGGTTGCCAGGTAGGATTCACACAGCAGCAGGGAGGGACTTTCTGGGAGTGGGGGGGGAGCATGTGACATGCATGCAACATAATGATGTCACGCAACAGAAGAGTTTTGCCTACAATACCATAGCATCGCTACACAGCATCACTGATGTGATGATGTCACTTCCGTGTGATGTCATTATGTCACATTTGGGAGTGGGATTCCCCCACCCCCAACTGTGGAATGGCATCCCTAAGAAATGTCAACTTTGAACATTACAGAGAAGCACAGGAAGCCAGAACCACTCCCATTTCCTGTCTTCCCCCATTTAGCCACCCTGAGCCTGCTACGGCAGGGTATAAATCCGATAGATAGATAGATAGATAGATAGATAGATAGATAGATAGATAGATAGATAGAAATAGTAACATTGGAAGCTGCTCAAAATAGGGTTGCCAAGTCTGAAGCGGCGCTGGAGCGGGGGACTGCAGCGCCGTTCTGGGAGTGTGCGCACACGCACACCACAACCACGTCACCCAGAAGTGACGCGACCATGCTGGGGGTGGGGCAACGACCATCCGAGGGAAAACCATAGAGTTTTCCCTCGGATGACCGTGGCCCCGCCCCCAGCGTGCCCAGCGTGGTCGTGTCACTTCCGGGTGATGGGCACGTCACGTGCTTTGGGGGTAGGGTTCCTACCGGGGCACGATTTGCCAGCGGCAGGGAACAGGCCTCTGGGGCGGGGGTTTCCCTGCCCCCCAGGGGGACTTGGCAAGCCTAGCTCAAAACCACATACAGAGCTGGACATTCCACAGAAGTACAGACGGAATGTTATCAGTACCAGTAACGAGAAGTGATAACTAGTAGCTTTATTTTTAAAAGGGCATTATACATAATCTACCAGGAGCTTTGGTTGTATACATTCAGAGATTAATTTCTATAACGATTGGGACTAGTGTGAAGCCATCATTCCTAAAAGTCTTTTTTCCTAATCCCTGATGTGTTTTGGCTAATTATAGTTATTCCTGATACCCTTCAAAAATATTCTCTTCTTCATGTAGGAATGCCAGCCTCCAGGTGGGCCCTGGGGATCCTCTGGAATTACAGCTCATCTCCACACTACAGAGGTCAGTTCCCTGGGAGAAAATGGATGTTTTAGAGGGTGAAGTCTATGGCATTGAACCCTACTGAGGTCCCTATCCTCCTCAGGCTCCATCTCCAAATTTCCAGGAGTTTCCCAACCTGGCAACGCTAACCCCCTCATCCCACTCAGGTGGTCAGGGAGGACCTGGCAACCCTGTGTTACATTTTCCCCTGCTTGAGTTTTTGTATCAGCAACAGATTTCAGGACTGAACCCAGGAGACATTCCAGTGACATACATGGGAGTTATACAGTGCAGTTAGCAGAGGATTATACATCACTGTCTGGATTAGAAATTATCTTTTTATTTAAAAATTATATTGCTCCAGAGTGAGAAGAAAGGGGAAATCAGATAATTCAAACTGAGAGTGCCAGCAGGGTGTAATGCAGCACTGGACTCCGATGGGAGAGCCAGACTCAGTCCCTGCTCAGGTATAGAGCTACTGAAGATACTGTGGCCTATCAGCTTCTCTCAGCCTAAACTACAGAGGGATGCTATGGGGGGTGGGGGAGAAAGCCACATATATGCCTCCCTGTCCTCAGAGGAAGAATTAGAAACACATATAACCACCATAAATAAATAAAAATGCATGTACTGATGCTTATTATAGGAATACTAAATTACATTATAGGAACTCAGAAAAATCAAAATTAGTTTGTTCAGCTTTCATTGTGCAGTTAACAAGAATAAACTAAATGCAGAATGAAAGGATTCACGAGACTGCATGTAGTCATACTGTGGTTCACCACGGCAAAATAAAAACAAGCGGAAGTAATTCCTTTCCTGTCTTTCTTTGATGTACTCCATCATGATGCAACGAACATTTCATACCATAGCATAATAGCTGAGTTGTGTCAACATGCTGCCTACCTTAACACTTCGTCCAAGGGTAGAACTGCTGAAATGGGGTGATACAGAGGAAGCCGTTTTCTTGCGAGGCAAAGTATCACTCATGTAAATGGCTTCTTTGTGCTGCTTCTTTCTCTCTTCCAGATTTCGGAAGTGCTTGAAATACAATTAGTTAAATCTTGTCAAATTTAATTTTTCTAAACCAACAGATGAAGCTTCCAGCATAACTATAAGGGAGTTTGTGTGCTGGATTTCTTTTCTGTAATTACTGTGCAGTTCTAAAAAACCTGACTACTGTATTTTAGTCCGGGGGGGGGGGGGACGGGACTAATTACAACCTTTACTTTGCAGTGTGTGTGTGTGGAGGGGAGTTTAAATCATTCTCATGATTTCCTGATGTTACACAAAGCATATGAAAAATGAATTTAAGAGTATCAATCACCAGGATAATTCCATCAGTACATTTCACAAAAAATAAATTGTTTTGAACAGGGTAAGTTCTTAGTTCATATTTATCATGAAATATGCCAGTTTATTATTTCTAAATATAACCAAAGAAACTGTACAGCTTCCACGATGACAAGAGACTTCCAAATGAGAAAAGAACTCAAAAACAATTTTTACACAATGGTTTGAACAAACAAACAAAAGATGACAGTGGTATTGCGAGTGGATTAATGATAGGTTATTTTATATTACAGCTTTTGTTGTTAAAGTAAATGAATGAGAAATATTTACAAAACCAACAAATTTCCATAAAATGGATTTGATTTAAATCTGTACTATAAAGCAAATGTGAGTACATTGTAATGTTAATTTTCCATTAGTTCAGTATTGTCTCTGGCTTTAGTGATTTTTTTGAGACCTGCACTTGGTTCTTATTAGTTCTTATTAGTATCTTAGCCCATACAAGATATTAAGGGGGAGGGGAACAGCTATGGAGAATCTGCTGAAGGCATGTTTAAACCTAACACATCTTTGATATATTTCTATTATTATAAAGGCATACAATACTCCCAGTGTGCTTTAATAGTATAGGAGTTTTTCAAGCCATTCTAGATTGTTGTTTAAAATGTGTTCCTGTTAATATCTTTTACTGCACTTATCTCATTAAGGACACCCACTAGACAACCCTCAGGATGACAGTGTTAACTCTTAAACCATGAGGAAAGGTGGGTATACATGTTTAAATAATAAATACATACTTTATGAAAATATTCAAATACATCATCATATACTGATGTTCACAGACAAGGAGTCTTACATGCTGAGCCCCACTGGTTTGATTTTGGCCATAGTAGATGAGAAGGTTTTAAACCAGTCAGGTCTAGGTTCCCAGGACCAGATTTGCTTTCTCTGAAGCCATACAGCAGCTGCAGGAACCTAATTTTTAAAACACAGCAGGGCCTGATTTGGATCAGGAGCATGGCACAGGGAGAGGAGAAGGTCTTTGCACCCCATGTCATCTTCCTGAACCCTGGGGGGCATTATTTACTTCACTTTGGGGTGACCATGAACAGCATGTGCAGCTCCCAAATGAAACACACACACACCCCTGGAACCATTTCAGCTAGAGATGGTGATAAATATATTGTGATCCAGGTAGGGTCATGGTGTGTGGGGAAAGCAAGCTTGTGTATGCATACTCCTAACAAGGTAGGAAACCACATGTGGTTCCTCTTTGTGATCTAGTCTCTGAGTATGCACATGCAAAACTCCTTAAACATGCCAGAATTCTACTGATCAACTGAAGGAACCTTCTCTCTTTCTCACTAAATAGCTAACTGGTAAGATTTTAACTTTTAAAAAGGGCTCCGTCCATACAGCCCTGGACGTTCTGCACACACTCCATAGGATTCAGTAGAAATGTCCATGCAAACATAACCTCATTGCTACTGAGGCTGCCTTCCTACAAGCATGTTACCTGTGGTTGCCTTCGGTGTTTCTTAGCTGGAAGAGGTGGTGGTGTGTCAGGTAAAGGAAAAGGCTCTACGTTTGGAGCCCTGACTTCAGACCAGTGGACTGGTGAAAGTTTTGCAAGAGAGCGAGGAGAAAGGGAGTGAGGAAAGACAAATCCAGGACAGAGAGATGATCTTAGCTTTATAGGAAAGAGAGAAATCATATTAAGAGTTTTCTGTACGGAATGACACACAAACTGCACTTTCTAAGAATTTGCTGGGGGAGTAAAGCCCCCTGATTTGGGCTTGTGACATTCTAATGGGGGACAAAGGAAACAAGAACAACTACACAAACACCAGTTTCAGTGATGAAATGAACACCACACATGTTCACAAAGCTACAGGTCACCACACATGTTCACCACACATGTTCACAAAGCTACAGTGTACTCCTAAGGACACTTGCCTGAGTAAGCTCCACTGAATAGACCTGAGTACAATTTTGAGTAGACCTAGTTAGAATTGCATTTGGATAAAAATGAAATAACCCATGTTTGCTTCTTTCTGCTACTGTACTGTTTGTAGCAGCAGCACGTTATTCCTAGCCATATGATCATTTAAGTGCATGCCATCCTTCCCTTCACACTCTCAAGTGTGGCAACAAGAAAAAAATGGGCAATGTGGCCAGATAACAAGTGGGAAATGCTTAACTACTTCACTTTGTATATAATGCATAATTTCTTTGGAAATAATGTCAGAATTTATTCTACAAATCAAACCAACTCATCCCATATAAATCAATCGCAAGTACTGTGAATGAACTGGTTCTGCTATCAGAAGGGCAAATTATTTTTAATTAGACTTTTCCGAGAGCCTTCTTATTGCCAGTGTTTCTCACCATCACAGTGGTGAGACACTAATAAGTGAACTGGCAGAGACTGACCAAGAGAGAGATCTTGGAGTCGTAGTAGATAACTCTCTGAAAATGTCGAGACAGTGTGAGACTGCAATAAAAAGGCCAACGCTATTACAGGGATTATTAGGATGGGAATTGAAAACAAATCAGCCAGTATCATAATGCCCCTGTATAAATCGATGGTGCAACCTCATTTGGAATACTGTGTACAATTCTGTTCACCACACCTCACAAAGTATATTATAGCATTGGAAAAAGGGCAGAGAAGGGCAACTAGAATGATAAAAAGGTTGGAACACTTTCCCTATGAAGAAAGGTTAAAGCGTTTGGGGCTCTTTAGTTTGGAGAAACAATGAGGAGTGACATAATAGAGGTTTACAAGATTATGCATGGGATAGAGCAGGTAGAGAAAGAAGTACTTTTCTCCCTTTCTCACAATACAAGAACTCGTGGGCACTCAATGAAATCGCTGAGCAGTTGGGTTAGAATGGATAAAAGGAAGTACTTCTTCACCCGAAGAGTGATTAACACATGGAATTCACTGCCACAGGAAGTGGTGGCGGCTATAAGCATGGACGGCTTCAAGAGGGAATTGGATAAACATATGGAGCAGAGGTCCATCTGTGGATATTAGCCATAAGGTATAGATATGAACTTTCAGTCTGGGGCAAGTGATGCACTGTATTCTTGGTGCTTGGGGGGGGGGGAGTGGGAGGGCTTCTCGTGTCCTGGCCCCACTGGTGGACCTCCTGATGGCACCTGGTATTTTTGACCACTGTGTGACCGAGTGTTGGACTGGATGGGCCATTGGCCTGATCCAACATTGGTTTCTCTTATGTTCTTAACTGGCTTGTACCACATTTTTCTGAATGTGGTATCTTTTTGAACTTCCAGTCACTCCATGGAAAAAAAGGATAGCTTGAATGGGGTGGTAAGAGGCAGACTATTTGGTACAATCTCTTGTATCCCTGTGGCACGGATAAAAAGGAGGGATTATTCATATGCCCAAGACTTCTACAAGCTGAAATTTTGCTCTGGAAGGCTCCCTCAAGCACACATTTTGTTTGGCTGCCCAACCAAAATTGCAGCTTTACAGCTATCCTAAATACACTGAAGGAACACAAAGTTAAAAAGCACAAAATATACAAATGGGAAATGTCTCTCAAACAAACCTCTTTGTTTTGTGGCTGGCTCACCAGGCCAGCTGTGGAAGGTTCAGTGGGAACAGCATCAGCAGCAGTGGGGGGTTGAGTGGAAGGGGGGATATTCGTGGAATTGCCATATGGCTCATTAATGTCATTTACACTCATATAACCCTAAAAGGAGGAATTCAGAAGTTAAACATATAAAAGAAGCAAAAGCCAAAAGGCATGCAAGAGTATTAAGGCACCCAATGTGCTGTGAAGGGTTAGTTTAGAGTGATACAGCCGATTGTTTGTGGTATTACAAAAAAAAGTTCATTAACCTATCAAGAATAATCAAAACTACAAAACACAGAGTGGATTAAAATGTCGTAATTACCACATATGTGATCAGAACGTTATTACATTTGAAGTGGCTTTCTGTAGCAAGACAGTGCCATTATAATTGAATGGGCTGAATCCAAGGATCCAAAGAGTGGATATTTCCTTCATTCCTCTTCCCATTGCAGTCCCCTATGCTGCCCCAAAAGCAGCTTGGCACTCAGGAACAGTGTGTGGTGTGATTTGGAAAGTATGCAGTGTGCAGAGGGAATCAACAACAATTAACGGGGGGGGGGAGTAAAATTGTCCTTCTAATTTTGGATATTCTTGTTAATCATTATTTTCTAGTGTTCTTTAACAACTGAATTTTTTAAAATTAAGATTATAAGAGCAATGGCAGTTTTCAGTTTACAATGTGCACAGTCTTAGGACTGTATAAGCAGCAGCAGCAGCAGCAGCAGCAGAGAGACTTTAGGCAAAGGCAAGCATCAGAAAGATATACCAAAGTGTGTGCATGTGTGTTTCAGTTCTAACTGAATGAAACCTTAGAACTTCAACAACAATTCTGGGAATGTTGATTACAACAATGTGCTCTACACAGGGCTGCCCTTGAAAAAACAGTCAGAAGCTTCAATTGGTTAAGAATGTTGCAGTCATTCAATTGCAACAGAATGCTAATGACTGCAGAGGGTCATAGGGACCATATCACTCTAGCCTTCGTTCATCATCAATGGCTCCCGATTTGTTTATGAGTTCTATTCAAGGTGCTGATGTCGATCTTTAAAGCCATACATGATCTGGGGCCAGCATACCCTAAGGACCATCTATTTCCATACAAGCCTCCCCGTTCATGGCAATCATCTTTTGAGATCCTGCTTCAGTGCCTCGACCTTCTGTGGTTAGGAAGGTGGCCGTCTGAGAGAAGGCCTTTTTTTGGTTATGGCGCCAAGAACTGCTTCCCCGGGGATATTCATCTTTCCCCTTCTATCACTGTCTTCTGCCAGTGAGTGAAGAATTTTTTGTTTCATATGGTCATTTTATGTTATGTTTTTATACTGTTCTGTTTTTTGTTGTTAGCCACTTTGGTGGCCCTGATTAGGCTGAAAGGCAGGATATAAATCTTTATTATCAGTGAGCTTTTGCGTTTTGCTCTGCAGATGTGATATCCCTTGCTAGCTTATACAGGTGCAGGTTTGGGAAATAATGCCATTACAGAAAGATGTGCTTGTAGGCATGCTGGCAAGGGTAAAATGCATACAAAAACACAGACAATGATGGATGGTTATGTCAAGTCTTGTGAAAGTCTCGCTGAGGTACACTGGCAACATTCCACACTATTAACAGTTAGATCTTTTACATATACAGAAGACATAACAATATATTGTCCTCTGAGAATTGTAAACTATATGAATCACCACTGAACATAAAGAATACATCAGTAACAGGTTCTTTCACTCCCTTTTCCCTTTTCCCGATTTTCAAAAAATTTTTTACCTCTTTTAAACTGCTTGGACTTACAGGGAACTCCTTTCCTCCTGAAACTGATGAATATTTCTTTTCTAGATTGCAAAGGTTTTCTTTTTCCTGTTGGGATACACATTTTGAAAGTAACCAGTAGGAAGAGTTAAACTTAGAAAATCACAAACAGTCAGGCTTTGTGTGCACATTCATTGTAAATTTGTGGAATTCATGTTCACAAGTAAATTGCTCTAGTTTTGTTGTATGGTGTTCAATTGTCTTTCTCTGTTTCACTTTTTTCCAAGACTAGATCTCAACCCAGACTAAAGTTACCTTTCCATGCAGGGGTCGTTTCGTAGAAAAAGAGCTAGGGGAACTCATTAGCATAATTCATTAGCATATGCCACACCCCCTGGCATCACCGGAAGTGTGTCATAAGACCACACCCCCTGACATCACCGGACGTGTGTCATAAGGCCACACAACCCGCCCCCAACGGTCCCGGCCGCCGCCGGCCTTGCAGCTCCACTGCCGAGCCCCATGAGGGGCCCGGCGGTGGACCTGCAAGGCCTGCGGGAGTACAAGGAAGCCCCGCGAAGGCCCTCCCTGGCCCCAGGCAGGCAGGGGTGGGGAGAGGCAGGGAGGAAGCAACTTACCCTCCCTCTTTTCCTGCCTTTGTCATGTGCCCCGCCCCTCAGTACCTCACCCGGGGGAACTGTGTTCCCCCGCGTTCCCCCCCGAAATGACCCCTGTTTCCATGTATCCAGAGCAATTGCACATTTTGTGCAACAAGCTTGTTTTCTGTGAGTGCACTGGTATTGCACCAGCATCTCCTGCAGCACACACATATAGTGTGGATGATTCTTGTATACTGTAGGCAATTTGGATTCACCCAGAGTCCCCAGGTGGGTCAGGGTCCCAAACATGTGTACATGGGAAATTTAAAGACCTGTGTGCATCCAGATATGTTATCCACACTATATGTGTCTGCTATGGAAAACTCTGATGTAAGGTTGCCCCGTACTGACTGGGCTGTTCTTACTATCTTATACCTGCTTTTCTCCCAATTCCAGCTGTAAAGATTCCACAGATCATCTGCAACAAGAATATATGTACAGCATACTATCAAAAGCTGCTTGGCACATGACTAAAATAAATATCTCAGTAACCTAATTGTGAAGAAAACCAGAGTACATTAGGCTGCGATTACACACACAATTAGACCCGACATAGGCGCGAATGCTGGGCGGATTTAAAAGGCACAATCAGACAACAACATATGGGCAGCACCCTGCAGCCATCGGTAACCCGTTCTGCTCCACCGCAGAAGCGGAGTTAAAAGACACCAGGGAAAATCTGGCAGTAAACGGATTGTGATGGGCCATGGATGGTCTTTCCCCTGTCTGATCACTCCAGCATGCTCCCATGCCGTCGGAATGGTCTGATCAGGCCATCCTCACTCCGTGCCGTTGTTTTTTCCCCATTTGCTGTATGTGCATCATTGCAAACTCCATAGGGAGCCCTCAGTGCGGAGGTGCGGTTCATTGATTCCTTGTTTAAGCGCATGGGAAACAAACAGCACACAAAAAACCCCAACTCACCCACAGTTGTGTCTGAGCACACACTAATGGGCTGCACCCACAGCTTCAGAGGGAGGTGTGATCATGCAACTGCGGGTCTATTTCCTCCGGAGGAAATAGCCTCGCTCCCCCCCCTCCTGTTTTATCTGGCGTGTGTGACTGCACCTTTAGAGAACTATAATTTAAGATAGGTGATTTCAAGTCAGAGAAAGCTCTCTATCAAAGAACTTTGAACAAAAAGAAATATACTATCCACAGGTCAGAAACAAATGGAATGTTATCACATGTCTATTTCCTTCTATGTTCCAAATGCTAATCTAGAGGTTTTGGCATGCTGACAACTGATTTTATTGTGTTAACTCAGAATGTTCTGTAAACTTATTAATTGCAGCATTCTGTTAAGCATCCTATTACACAAAAGCCTGAAATATGAATCTTGCTTTTCTTTTCTGTTGTTCATCTTCTTTTGCCACTATCATGGCAATGATTAAAATGCAGACTTAGACCAGACAGAGTCAGGCTAAAATCCATGTGTCATACTAATTAACAAGCAAAATTTCAGCATTGCAAGAAGACAGGATTTAACTTTTCCACCTTCCCACTTGGTTTTGCTAACTGAAACACACCCATACTTTTAATATTCCTGTAATAACTGTGGGGATCATTTTCAGTTAGCAAAACCCAAGTAGGAGTGGAACCATGAAAAACTTCGCTCCTTCCCTCCATGGCTCTGATCCACATCAGGACCATACAGAACTGTAATTTGGCTGCGGGAAAATGGCAGAGATCCATGATCTCTGTCTCATCTAGTTTGACCATCTGCCACAACCCTTACTCAGTCAGCCTACCCTATCTACCACTCAGGATATGGATACCATCCTGAACTTTGAGGAGAAAAAGTGGGGAAATGTAAATAGATAAATAAATGTTGACAAACTGAGTTTGCTATGCAAATGTTTACCACACATGATTAAGCTTAGTAAACCTGTAAAATGACAAGATAAGTCTTTTCCATGTGACTACACAACTATCATATTGCTGACTGGATTATTTTTTAACTCATGTCTTAGAGGGTCAGGAAAAATGCCTACTCTTTGCAGCATCATCAGCAGGTTATTTTTCTCTTTGACAAAATGATCTTGTTCCCGTTGGGCTTGCTGGACAATATGATTGGCCTGCTTTTTGAGAGCAGAAATTTTCTCCTGTAATAAAGTTAGCATAAATACTTAGTTCAGGATGAGCTTCAGAAAACAATGTAATGCAGCACAAACCCCAATTATCACGAGGACTCTTGTGTGGAAGAGATCTGTACCAACAACACTTTGTTTAGTTCTTATTATGTTTTGTTCTCTTGTTTGGCCTTTTGAGGCCCTGGGATTGGATGTCACATGTTTTCTTCAAAGACTATGTCACACATTACACCAAAACAAACAGAGAGCCACCTAGTATACACTCAACAAGGAAGCTACAAACCATCTAGCTCTTTGATGGGTGTACCTCTAGCTGGATTTTTTTCCCAAACACCTGTTTCTCACATTCACATTTTACATTTCTTAGATAAACACTTCAAATCTTAGGAGAATATTTAACAAAACAAAATGTGTGAAAAAAGTTCTAGGCACATGCTTATTCCACTAGGGAATATGGAGTTCTGACTGATAAACACTTTTATGATGTATGAGTATTAACTTCTATGCTAAGAAAACTAGAAGTGAAAATAATAATTGGAATGAATATGGAATTGTACAAACTACAGAGCTAGATGATGCAGATGTATCCTACCAAAGAAGGACATCAGGTACTGATGTCACATTTCCTTAGTAAGTTAAAGTGAACCCAAACTGAAAACCAGTTCAAACTTTTTTTTTGAAGTGGGACAAAATTATCCATTCAGAAGAAGTGCTTGGGGGGAAAAATCAAAACTAGTGTATTTTACCAGAATAAAGAAGTAAGAGAACATAAAATCAGCAGCTAAAGCATTAATGTTTCCATGATCTTTTCTCTAAAGCTGTGACTGGGAGGGTGTGTGTGTGTCAATATGCCTGCTGGATTCCATATACTGCAGAGGGCAGTAATCTTAGCACCCAGGATTTGAGAGATTAGAATTAACTTGCCCCATCTTTGTGAACCAGTTTTGTAACATGAATTATATGCTTTCCCATATAAACTGGAAAGTGGCTTGGCTAGTGAACCCTTCCTAGATTGATCCAGGACCAAAATAAACAAATTTCATTCTCTCCCAATCTTGAACTAAAACCAATCCACAAAAAATATAATGTGCTGTGTGATCCTAAGAAGAGTTACAGCCTTCTAAGCCCAATGATGTCTAGAAGGGTGCAAAATCTGTTTAGGAGTATCTTCTGCAGCAGTGGTTTATATTCTCTTACCTTTCTACTGACAATGCTACGTTGATATTCAGCTACTTCACGCAGGAGCTGCTGTGTTAGATTCTCTTTCTCCTCATCTAGCCTGCTTTCATGTTCTAGCTGCTGAAACTCCAGATCTTCAAAGTGTTTGCTTTCTACCTCCAACAGATCAGCATCCTTTAAAGACAAAACATCAGTGTAAATCAAAAATTATTGTTAGTGAAAATAGATTAAGGTGCCAACTCTTAATACTAAAACAAAACAAAACCAACATTCTTTTTACAGTTGTGGACTTAAGACAGAAATTCTTATTCCCAGTAATTAACTGAATAAACAAGTGACAAAAATACTAGTTTACAAGTTGGTGTCTTTGGCAGCCTGTACTGGGCACACTCCAACCCAGTCACGAGCTGAGGTTGGGAAGAACTAAAGCAAAGCAGGCAGGAAAAGGTTCACTAAACTTTATTTTTATTTATATATTTATTTAGACATTTCTTTTACCCTGTTCTTCTCTCCAATGGGACCCAAAGCAGATTATAAAAGTACAATTTAAATAGACAAAATACAATTTAAATAAACTAACAGAGAACAAAAGGTATGCCAGAGGATATCCTAAACTGGTCCTGAATCCACTGGGCTGGCACACTCAAGGCCACAAGCTGTGAGTCACAGGTGGGCTTCTCCCACCTCTGCTTCACAGTCTCCAAGGTGTTTGCCCTAGGCCTCTTCCAACTAAGTAAGGAACAGCAAAAAGATGGATAAAGGGAAGAGGGCTGGTGATACCCTGGAATTTAGGCTGATGCTGCACAATGTAGGAAAGGGGTAGTCTCTAGGTCCCATTATTTGCTCAAATAAAGGGATAGCATAGATAAATAGATTGGGGGGGGGAGGTTACAACCTGCCTCCTATGTCACCTCCTCACAACTTTCATCCAAACTATCATGACCTTTGCAATGGGAACGCTCTGACTTACTCCTCACATGTACCAGAGTAGTAATAGAAGGTGAGGATATATATCTGTCTCCCACTGGACAGTTCTCCACTGCACACAATGTTCATTCACTGGGTGGCTTCACACACAAACATGAAAACATGTCCAGAATACAAATTGGGCACTCCCATATGCACATGATTTCAATAGGAAAAAATAGCTCAAGGAGTGAGGATTTAGCCTCATTACCTGTCTTTCAGTCCCTGCCCCCCAAATGGGGAAAATATGCAGAACTCTGTGTAACTTTCTGTTTATTGTGATTTCTGTGTTCCTAGCCACTGTTCTGCTTCCTTACATTCTCAGTGTAAAAATTTACCTTACATAAAAGCAGAAATCTCACACTAGTTAACACTGAATAAGTTTATGTACCACGTTTAGTGTTTGTAAATATGCAGCATCACTGAGAAACAGGCTTAGATGATGGCCATTTCACACATAATGCAGCGGCAAACCCAGATTTGCCACAAATCTTCCCAGAGCCTCCTTCTCTCAGCTCAATCTGTTCTGTCTCCTGGCTTCACAACCTACCAAGAGAAAGTTGACTTACTTCTGGGTCCCAGCCCACCATGTGAGAACCACTACTTTAAGGAGAACAAGTGTTTGCATCTCTTTAACTACGAGCATTCAATCTACTCTCCCCCCCATAATTTCAAATACCACTCCGCAAGACAACAAGAGGCATAATCAGTGATGACAGAATCTGTTGCCTGTGGGATGAGGTGTGGATTATACTAGCTCCTTGCATGTTCATTAATGTGAAATTATGTCCACAGGCCAATTTTTTTCAATTTTATACGGTCATACCACATTTATCCTTTATGTCTCAAATATGAAGTCGCAAAAAGCTGTAAAAAAGTTAAAACATTTTATGAGTGAAAACAGTAGTCAAAATATTGAAATGGGTAAGAAACCACTTCTTGAAACAAAGGCGTTTCATGGCCATATTTAAAATCAAGATGTTGTAAAACTGCACACCTGTCAACAGAGACATTCTATCATTCTGCAACAGAGAAATGAATTCTTTTTAAGTGCAGCAACTTCCTGTAGGAGCAGTAATTGGAGAGTATAGAATTTCTCTTCCTCTTCTACAGCAGGACATGCCGAAGCCCAACTAAACATTACATTTACAAAATCTCTAGTAGCCAGAGGCCAAAAGGTGCTAAGCACTAGCTGGTTGACAGCTTTTAAAGTATGTGCCACAAACCAATTCTTAATCCAGCTCTTTGCATTCTGCTTATTTGTCAACATGAACCACTCTTATTAGCAATATACAAAACTAGTATTTAAAACCTTAAAACTATGGACTGGTTATGAAGAAGTCCTTTGCACACTTCCCAGTTGATCATGCTTCATGTAACTAAAAAAAAAACCCCAAAACAAAAAGGGGGGAAAAGAATCCATGCTACTGACCCTGTTTAGTTGCTGTTGCAATTGTTCCCTCATGGACTCAGGGCAATTATCAAGCTGGGTCTTCTGCTCGGAGTAAAGCTCCTGAAGCTTTTCTAGTTTTTCCCTTTCAGCATCAAGCTTTATTTTTTCCTGGAGTTTCAACCAGAAAAATAAAGAACAGAATTACCTTCAAACCCAAGCAGTTGTTAGTGATCCTGATGGCGCCATAAAGCAGGGCAAAGTAAAGGGGGGAAGAGTGGGTCTTGATCAGTACTGAAGAATGGAAGAGGCTGCAGTTAATTTGGAATAACCTACATGTCTTTGTATCACCTGTCAAGTACCGAATTATGTTTTGGGGGGCAAAGGGCAAACATTTCACTTATTCCACAGAATTTTTATTCCACAATTCTACAATTTAGGTTGTATCCCCAGATTCAGTCCCCAGCAAATCAGGTTTTAAAGATGGATTCAGAAGACTGGGAACCACAAGTTAGTCACTTAGCTTCCTTGCAGGGGTGATTTTGCTGGGTCAAACCACATAGCTGAAGGTTACAGGATTCATATGGTACACATGACTTCAGATCATGTATATTACAACATATTGTTTTTTTTCTTTTTATTTGTCTCTCTTTGGTTCTCATCCTTTCAAAACTATCTATACAGCCATGAGGTTATTTTTATTTCCTTACTTCATTATTTCCCACCTTTCTCCCCAATTGGGGACCCAAAGCAGCATATATCATTATGTGCTCCATTTTATCTTCACAACAATCCTGGGAATTAGGTTAGGCTGAGAGAGTATGACTGTCCCAAGGTCCCCTAGGGAGCTTCCATGGCAGAGTGGGGATCTGAACCAGATCCTAGTCCGACACTCTAACCACTTGTCCACACTGCTTAGAAACCCAGGCTGTAATCTAATCCTTTTACAATGGGAAAGTTGCCAGTGATAATTTTCAAATGAAAGAAGGGCTACTCGGGATTATAATACACCTCATTGGGTTTTACAGTGGTGATATGGGTAGACATGCATCCCGTGGCTCATACGCCACCCACCTCCAGTAGACACTAACTTCTATTAATTAATTAACAGGCTCACATCCTTGATTAGAAGGAATTAAAATTATGGGTTTGTCAGAATTTTCTTTTTGAAAATGACCATACTGTCATTGCTTACTTTTAAGACTACCTGGATGATCCTATTCTCTGCTTTTTATATGATGGTATATTAGCTACTTAGAAGCCAAAGTAGTGGTCAGTTAGTCTAAAAATGATGGAAGGATAGAAAACGATAAGATTTTATGAAGTGAACTAAAGCATATATTATCCAGCACAGTACAAAGGTAGACAGAGTGGAAACACAAGTGTGATGGTAAGTCAGAGAGGAATACTTTTATAAACTGTGAAAGGAAAGGCTGCATAAGCATAGCACAGGAAAGTAATTGGTTTGGAGCAGGAAATTCTGTTGCAGTAATCCAGCATGCTGAATAAATAGAACTGGTTTAATTCACTCTGAAAGGAATTCTATCCTGATATCTAGGATAACCTTGGAACCCAGATGCACAATCCCAATTTCAACAATAATGAACAACAGACATATTTTCCCCAAATCAGAATAGACTGAATATATGTTTTTAGCCAATTACTCCATTTCTCACAAACATACTACAAGACCGACTCTTTCAAAACAAGACGTTTGTACACACAGATCTACAGAAGCAGCAAATTATGTTTAATTAACTGGATGCTAAACTGTTTCTTTAAAAAACAGCTGGCATAGCCCATCTTGAAATTGACACCAGCCTTTTACAAACAGTCCACATGCACAGAATGGTGGAGAAGTATAATATCTGCCAACTCCCTGCCCCCTAATGTCAGCAGTAGGCAAAAGAAATATTAAAACTGTATGGACTCAAATGTTACATATGTGCACAGGCTCTGTGTGGATGTTTGGCTGAATACATAGACTAGGGGTAGTGCTAGTTGGTACAAACCTGGTTCCCCAAATATGTACATTTCCTACACATGTTGTATGTACAGGGTTAAGTCTCAGTTTTTAAGAGAACACTCTTTTCCACAGAAGAACTGTGGAAATGGAGACCCATTAAAAATCTACAACATGACATCTGACTTCAATACCCAGGAAATGTTATTTTATCATATGGAGTCACAAAAACAATGTACAAGAGTGAAAGAACTGCAAACATAACCTAAGATCCCTGTTGCTGTTGTTTTTAAAAAACCAAGAATAATATATAGTTCTTCCTACCCTTCCTATACACATTATTTCTTATGGGGAAGGATTATTCTGAAACCACCATTTTAATTTCAAAAATCACCTTAACGCCCAGTGATGCCAGAATGGTATAAGCAAATATACAAAATATGTTCTATCCTGACAACCAGTGACACTTTGGTCTGTTATGCAAAACTATAATGTACCACATCCATCCTGACAAGAACAAAGGAACCTGGCCTCAACAGGGTGTAAATTCCTGTTAACTGACCTCCTTTGTTCTGATATTATCAAACAAAACTTCCTTTACTACTTTTTCCCTCCATTACGTTTCCCTCCTCTGTCATGTGTGTGTCTTTTAGCCTATGTCTCATTTTCCAAGCATCTCATCTGTTATAACAGTGCTGGCCATGCTACAAAACCTGGAAATGTTTGTTTGACTGGGGCAGCTAAAATAAACAACTAACCATACAAGCCATGGCAGTTCTAAAATCCCAGCTCTAAATCTGAAAAGCTAGGGTAGGCACACGTCCTTTAATACTTTTCTGGACTCTCAGAGCTTCTGTTTCAAACACTTTCCTTGGCCCGGGTAGTATGGCAGTTAGAGAGGACAACTAATGTGGTTTACTAGTCACTCATGCTAAGTACAAGGCTATCATTGAGCTCATCTTACAAAGGAAGCCATTAATTTGGAAGACTAACAGCTGCATGCTAGGAATGGAAAAGGGAACCTGACACCAAGTGGAAGAGCCACTTCCTTTTTCTTTTCCACTATCTTAATGCAGAGGCATTCTTTTTGTTGTGTAAAAATCAGAGTCTCTAACAGAAGGGTAACAATAGTAAGAAACAACAGGAAAAGGGTAATCTGCAGCCCACCCACTAAAGTAATTTATTTTTGCCCATAGTTTTACTCACAATGGTATTTTAGATATATTAATCTAGTTCCAAAGCTTTACAAGCATAATGAAAACAGCTGCTGGTGCTTTTCCACAAAGGTATGCACAAGGGGTTGTGCCCAAGAATTCACCTAACACAGACAGGATCTAGAGGGATTCACATGAACCTGTTAGTACAAGATGCAAAAACAAATGAAACTCTTGCACAAGGAACGTCTCTGAATTTATTTTTCTTTTCCATGCAAAGTGCTAACACAAATATATAAAATATCCCATCAAGGAACACCTTCTGCATGGGGAAACTGTGTCTGGATTCAACCCATTTTGCTTACACTAAAATAAGGATAAAGCCCACAGAACTATGCAGAATGAAGAAGTACAGGTGAAAAGTAGGGCACAGCTGAATAATTGTTTGTTGACTGTGCTAAGTGTACCCTTCGTTGTTCCAGTAACTCTTAAGACAAAGAATATTATGTCCAGTTTCATGATGATTCACATTCTTCCACAGCTATCCCTGCTCATCAAACAGATTAAATTAGATCTTTTGACAGGACTTTGCCAATGACTTACTTTAATGCCAGGCAGAATCTTGTCTGATCTTGTTCACATTTTGTTAGCCAAGGTAACAGGGTAGCCATAAAAGGTTTATCAGTCACTGATGTATACAAAGCTGTCATTAAGCTCATCACAATCAATGAATAGCAGCTTCATGCATTTACTTTAGGCAATTTACTAAAACTAACATCTGCAGTCTTTTACACAATTTACATATTCTGTTATTTGGATGATAAGGATAAAGGAAGCTACAGCAGATCATCTATAAGCAACCAACATGGAAAACTGCAAAATAAAAAGGAAAAGGAAAAGTTCCAAAACGCTGAACAACTATTTGTGATACTAGCTAGGAATCATTCCCCCCCCCACTCTAGCAGCTAGGAAATTGTGTGTTGCTTATGCATGCGTAGTTTGTTGGGTATCATAGAACAGCCAATCCCAGTCTGACTACATACCCTTTGATGCCTGGAACGAACCCATAAGCTTAGCCAAGAATCCAGCTGGGAACTGGCCCAGATCAAACTTCTGCTTCTTAGTGCTGCTGCCACCATTCTCCATTTCTTTCCCCTGTTCACAACAGGCCTTTTTCCACCCAGGTGAACATGCATGACAGAGATTTCAGCTCACTGTTTTCCTTTCCAACTGTTGTTTGTTGTTAGGAAGATCTGGGCCGCACAAACAGGAGATAAGCAGCAAGAGAGGACAGACATGGAAGCTGCAGAGATCCTGTGGCAAGGGAAAGCTAAGAACCACAACCCATCCTGAATATACTTTCCTTCCTTTCTGGCAGCTGTGACCGTGTCGAATATCAGTGCTAAGAGTCTCTGCTTGGATTCCCAGCTGTGGTTGAAGGCTCTGAATCCAATCTATTCCTCATACATGCACATACACGGTATGGCAAGGAACTTCACTCCACAGGGGAAATTCCACTGAAAACACCTGTTTTCTTCTGGTCTCATTTAACATCAAACCTGTTTTTCACTGGGGAAATGGTTTGATGGCACCATCTCAAGCTGCACCGTAGAAAAAGGCATTTTATATATCTACAAGATAAGCAAAGTATATAATTCCAAATAGTCATACAGAAATTTAAGTAACTTTTACAAAGGTCACAGTCTCTTCTGAACTCCAAATGATTTTAAGAAATCTAATAATCAAAATTATTAAATGAATCAAAGGAACTGAGTTATGGGGTTAAGCAACACATACAATCTCCTTCCTTAGTAAAAGTTTTAGACCAGCTGAAATTCCAACTATTTTTCAGCATTCTCCTAGCTATATGATTCTATGAACTAAGCAAAACACTAAACAGGCTTACCAGGAAAAGCATGGAACAAATACTGACAGCATTATCCAATCCTAAGAATTAAATCAATACGCTGATGTGGCAACTCAGGAAGCAAACAGTTTTTAATGAAAATACAACTACTATCTGAATCCTAAAGAGGTTAAGCAATGAAGCTGCC